CAATTATCCAAACAGAGGCAATTAGGCTACCTTTGTCCAATGCCTAAAATTCAAAACAATTCAAATGCTGCAAACCTGGGAAATAGCAAACAGGGATCACTAAGAGGGATACGGCTTCTGACCAGCGCCCCTTGAACATAGACAATGACAAAAATGGGGAACCGCCAACATAGAACTGGATAGCTAAGTTAGTAAAGCACCAGAATGGAACCCGGAGGTCACAGGTTCAAATCCCGTTCCAGTCAATTTCTCTGTTCAACTTTACAATTAGAAATTAGTTCCATAATACCGGCCATTTATTCCATACTCCAAATTTAATTTCCTGACCCACCTCAACCATCCCCTTTTTAGCTGTCCATTCACCCCCAGGCCTTACATCTACATGTATCGGAGTCTACCCGATGTTCCCCAATACCTATGTATCCCAATACCTATGTTCCCCATAATCCTTAGGGTTAGGGTTTGGGTTAGGGTTAGGGTTAGGGTTGGGGAACATAGGTATTGGGGAACATAGGTATTGGGGAACATAGGTATGCACCCACATGTATCTACTCCAACCATGGCATAAATCGCATGAAGCCGCAACACATTGCTAGCAGCCGTGCACATGGATTCATGTAGTAAACGTGATTTTTGTTACAATTTCCTTTCCATCATTTTCAATACAGCCGTGTGGGGAGATACTTTGAAGAGTGAGTAAAGATACCAATTCAAGCACAAAAACAGTATTTCTTAATCCACATTACTTTGGGTGTCGGTTAGTATTAGTGGCACGTGTATCACCTCTGTATGAAAGGACCATTTGTTATTTGGTTTACCTTTACTTATCAAATGGTAACAGTTTTCAGCTCTTCATTTGGGTCGATTTATCTCAATTATTATATTTTACTTGGTTTTCCAGTGATATTTATATCCCTGTCTACCAGTGTTGTAGGTCTCGAGACCGGTCTCGAGACCACTTTTTGCTGGTCTCGGTCTCGGTCTCGGTCTCGGAAGCTGTGGTCTCGGTCTTGGTCTCGGTCTCGGTCCCCTTTGGTCTCGATATTTTGGCTGGTCTCGGGTCGAGACCGGCAATATGTAGCTTTTACAGCTCGATCGATTACTTTGTGTTCACTTCGTTCAGTACCGTTGTTATTTTAAAAATTTGCTAGCCCGTAGATCAAGCTTGTTATATATCGCGGTCGGTTTGGACTCGACTGCACGTTGGAAAGTCCCCAAAGTACATGTAAAACTGCAGCAGTACCAGTCACTGAACGATTTGGAACAAGTTCGGCATTTGTCTGTTGAGTCGGCCACATAAAGCAAAGTATAAACTTGTAACAATTTATGCAATAAGGGTCAACCATTTTCGGGGATTGTGTAGTTTAGCCCACCCCTGTGGACGTAATCACTTGCATTTTGTATTCTGATAATAAATGAGGTGCTTCCAATTAGTTATATTTTCGACCCCACACAATGTTCTCTTCAATTTGGGACAGTATTTTTAGGAAAAAGTAAATTTTTCTACCTGATTTTCCAGCTTTGAACTCACACACTCTTACCAGTTACCACTCACTGTTGCCATGAGAGTGTATGATGAGACCCCATTTTCTGGCTGCTCATTTTAAAGTACCCCAGTATTCCTCAAAAATTAAAAATCCCGTTCAGAAAAAAAATAAAAATCCATATCTGGCACATTCTGGCTACCCCCTCGCAACTTGTGGGTCTACATGTACAAGTCCACATTCTATGACAAAAATTTAAAAATTAATTCAACATTTTCTAGCTCCCATTTTTAAAAATCAAGTACACAATTCTTGTTAGAAGTTAAGTCCTATATTTATTTTAGGAAAAAAGAGGCACAATGTAAAATTAAAATTGCATCTTTTAAATATCCGTTAGAAGTCATAGCTGAAACCAAAGGGGTGACTGTGGAGTTTAGGATCTGAGTTCCTATAACAGATGAAACATCTACCTTTAACTTTTTACTTTTGTCACGATTGGGTGAAGACAACATGTCAAAGCCCATATTTCTCAAGTGTAACTACTGTTTGCTCAAGTAAGGTGTCATGTATCAATTTGTAAACATTGCCACTGGTCAAAATTTGGTCTGTATTCTTTGTGAATAGAAAGGTTACATTTTTCAACTATAATAACGTGTCTTGTTTTTTTAATTTCGACTATTGTTATTTATTATCAGCGGTCTCGGTCTCGGTCTCGGTCTCGGACCATATTGGTCTCGGTCTCGGTCCGCCTTGAAGGGGCTGGTCTCGGTCTCGGTCTCGGTCTCGAATCTTCAGGTCTCGGTCTCGGACTATCCGGTCTCGACTACAACACTGCTGTCTACATGGTCAATAGAGAATTCAATTCAATTAAATTCAATTCAATGCAACATTTATTTCCAAATCATACAGACACTGTAATAATTACACGAAGAAAAAAAAAAGTAATTGGAGGCATAAACACAAAAAGCTGAAGCTTGTAAGGGGGATGCCTTAGAGTTAAATGAACAATACTGGGCTATACATTTGTAGTATGATAGTAAATAAGTACAACATGTACATGTACATGTTACAGAACAGAAGAAATGTAGCGGACACACAAACGAACAGACAAATAAACAAACTACCCCAACAAACAAACAAACAAACAAACAAACAACCACCCCAAACAAACAAACAAACAAACAAACACCCCAACGGACAAAATGCGAACAAATGGTAATGAGTAGAAGTTGAAATACTAAAATTCTCCATGATTCCACACACACAAGTGTGCAAACGTCTTCAATGCTGGACCTCCTATTGTCCGCGGTTAAAACTTTTTGGAAAGAACTGTCAGTGGTTTTGTACACGATTTTAATTGTGGACCTTCACCCAATCCTGGACCATAGTGTCCTCTAATGTTGTTCAGTGGGAAAGGGCCACATAAATGGTGCAAATTCATGAAGTTACGTGTATTTTGGGGAACAAACCCATGCCATATGATCTTTACAATTCAGTAGAAGTCTTCTTTTTTTAAGAGCACATTTTTAGCTAGACATTCACTTTTTTCAATAAATACATGTACAGTCAAATTCATTTTTTCTTAAAGTATTCTTCGTAGCAAAACCCATCTGTATACACACCACAAATAAATACATACGGTACATCAGTGTGCCTATCAGTGGTCATAGTGTTGTGGTCGCATGCGATAATTCTGTTTGAGACCACCCATGCATTGTGTCAGATAAACATGCTATCAAATATGCAATTTCCTTTATATAGGTCTCCATTGAATATTTCATATAACCATATATTTTATAGTATGAATTAATATACATATAGTACAGGGTTTGAGGGTGGACAGTTGATATTCGCTCCCTGAGGTATTGGAAGTTGATAAACTAGTTCTCGAGGCGAAGCCAAGGGAACTAGTTTGTCAACTTCCAATACTGAGGGGAGCTAATATCGACTGTCCACCCGAAATAAACCATGTTATATTTGTTTTACTATACCTCATACATATTCAATTGCCGATTTTTTTTCGTTGCAGTATATACCTCAAACAAAATCTTCAGAGAAACTTGTCCAGCTCACCAAAAGAATATTATTGCTCAGCTTCACTAGTTCAGTTCGTTTGCAATACAGTAACTACAGTTGTAAATAAAGGTGTTTATGGACAACTTTCTTTTGTACAGGAAGCATATATAGTGTCCATAAATATTATCCAGTTCGGCATCATTGAGCTTGGGAAAATTAACATTTGCGCGTACCATGCATAGCTTGCTTGGGCGATGTTCATGCGTGCGTACTACACCCGTACGGCAGTTCCACAATTGCTTCGTAAAGCGCATGCATAGTAGACTGTCGCACGGGTAACCCGTGCGACAGCCTACTACGCATGCGTATTTACCCTCGCGCGCACTTTGTAAACAGCAAAAATAACATCTGCCACGTGATGGTGAATTGACCAGTAAGAGTTCGGCTCTCGATCATGAATATGTATGAGGTATAGTAACTGTCAGTGTTTGAACTACCATCACAACAGACTTTTTTGGCTGGTCCCAAAGAAGCCAGATGATGGAGTTGTAGTCAAATTCTCACTGGTACTCACAACTCAATCAAACGTCATCCAGTATCAAGACACAAGCTATCCTAATGAACCGTGTCAAAAGCATTCCTCTATTCATTATTCATCTCCTATTATTTCGACATGTAACTTGACTCGTGATTGACTACAGTTCTGTTCAGGGAAGTTCAGTATTACAGAAAGCATGCACAACACCCGTGTTTTTTTTTTTAAGTTTGGGTATTCTGTTTCTTGAAAGACATTGATGAGGATTGAGTCACTTCTCTGGGAATCTTACTAGACATTGGTCCAACTTGCTGGGAAGTCTTCTTTCTGGTTTTGCACTACATTTTCCTTATCAGCACTTTTACAAACTTAGTTCTCTTTGGAAACATTATTTAACTGGACAGCCATGTAAGTTTTTCAGTCTTCTCAAAAATGTGTCACGTTGATTTGAACTAATTGAAGTCAGCAAAATTATCTTGATTGACAAGTAACAGGTCACAAAAGTATGTTTTCACCCATACAGTGAAACGTCGCTATAACGAACATCGCAGGATCCACAGAAATTGTTCGTCATGGCGATCGTTCGGTATAGCGATTTTAAGCTGCTGGTGCTCCGATACTCACTTTCAACAAATAGCGCCCTCCATAACTTCACCCTGCATGCCTGGTAGTTACAGAAAGACAACTATAAACATGTGCCGACTATTGAATTATGTAATTACACAGTTTTTGAGCTAACTACCTACAGCAATGGGTGGCTTTCCCCTTCTATTCCTTGGGGAAATAATAGCCACTTGTTACTCTTATGTTGACAATTTTCAACAACAATGTTTGGTACATTTTGTACACAAAAATCGGGAGCCAAGGACGATGTTCGATATAGTCGAATGTTCAGTATAGCGGTGTTTGGTATAGCTACGTTCCACTGTGATAGACTTTTTTTTCGTAACTTGTTCACTGTTTAGGCTCTATCCATAATTCCATCGCTGCATCCCGTGTAGAGCACGCTCTCTCTGAGGTAGCCTCGTCTGAAGGTAGCTCCATCCCCAAGCAAGGACGATCTCAACAGATCTGGATGATGCAGGCTCACATCTGGCTGGCCATTGGTGAGTGCCAACTTTTTTAATCAACACTTTTGGTAACCTTGTAACCACTAAAGACTCAGGATGGAAATCTAGGTTTAATTTGATAAACATTTATCAAAACGGCCCAAGGGCGGATCCAGAACACAATTTTGAAAGTGGATCCCAAAAATTACGGCGAGGGGTTCGGGGCCTGCTTAAGGGCCCTGAAAAAATGTTGGATTCTAGATGCTCTGTGGTGCGATCTGAGGCAATTTCTTACCACTTTGTCCAATTTCTTTTGAGGGAAAGATGGTGGTGTACGCAGTGCCTGCCTTTATTGCGACATCACTTAAAAAAAAAAATGGGTTCGTTTTGGGGGGCAATGGCCCCCGTTGCCCCCCCCCCCCCCCCCCCCCGGATCCGCCCTTGAAATGGCCCACCATTCTTTTGCTTGAAAGAGAGGCACTGAACATTGAAGTTGCCCTGTTGGCTCATTGGAAGCATCATACACAATACATTGTATAAATGTATATCTTTGACGAAACAACTTGTGGTCATTCAAAATAAGATGTATAACTAAACTCCCTGTGATGTGATCAAGATGCTTCCAGTGCTTTGTCAATAGCACTCCGCACTAATGACGTCAATTTTGCTCCGCGCCATACGCGCGCATACCCCAGATATCAGACATACTTTTGAACAATCATGCGTGCACATGCATGCACACCTGGCCGCATACATTCGTATAGAAACGGTGTTGCAAGCGAGTGCGTAATCTCCACACGAGAAGTTCGTAAAGCATGCTTGTCTGAGATCTGGATACTTGCTTCTATTTTTAAAATTAGTGCGGAGTGCTATTAAATCACTTTTTTGCCTGCCAGGAATCGAAAAGTTAGGCCCACTGACTTGTTTTTATTAAATAACTTACAGATATTGTTCATTCTTTGTAAAATTGGCAGATATTGGAGGATTCAGAAAGATAGATGGTTTCCTTTAGAAAAATGTGCACAAACATTTGGTCCGTTTTGAAGAGTTTTCAAACTGTTATCCTATTTTGTGTGTTGACTCTTTAGCTGAGTTGTACCTGAGTCTTGAGAAACCCAATGAAGCCAGAGCCTGCGTACAAGAAGCCTCATTGCTCTTCCCTCTCTCACATCACATCCTTTATGTTGTAAGTATTCCATTGATTTGAGTAAGCCTTTCATTTTGCAGCTATCAATCTTCCGATTTGAATGTTTCATTGCAATGTGTTGTAAATTTACATCAGGTGACTCCTTAAAAACTGCTAGCTAAAGAGTGACACTTTGGGGATTCGGGGATGTAGTCGATCTCAAGTAAATCATTGTCCATTCACAAGTCCAGTCACAAGTTCATCACAAGTCCATCACAAATCAATCACAAGTCCATCACAAGTCCATCACAAGTCCATCACAAGTCCATCACAAGTCCATCACAAGTCCATCACATGTCCATCACAAGTCCATCACAAGTCCATCTCAAGTCCATCTCAAGTAAATCACAAGTCCAGTCACAAGTCCAGTCACAAGTAACAGTGGGTGAACAAATACAAAATAATGCCTTTGTCTGAGCTCACTTGAATAGCTTGTGAGTTGAATTGGGACTGGAGGATTTGTGATGGACTTGAAGGGTCTTGTGATGGACTTGCAGGGTCTTGTAGGGACATGCAAGGAATTGCAGGGACTAGACTCCACTTCATCCCTGGTAGGATTTGCATACAGGGCACCGCCATTTTGACAACAGTTTTGCATTATTATTGTTCCATTTTAGGATGGCACGTTCCCAGGGCCTAGATAACAAACGCAAACACCTTTCTTCCTTTCCTTTTGACCACAGCGAGGCTGCATTCACGAGTACAACCAGGACTACACGGAGGCCAAGACGTGTTACGACAGCGCCTTGGCCATCAACCCGTCTCACATCAAGAGCATGCAGACTCTAGGAGCCGTGCTGCTGTCCCTGGAGCAGTACGAGATGGCTGAGAAAGTGCTGAGGGATGCGGTGAATATCGACCCCACGGCGCATATGTCTTGGTAAGTGCTTATTAGACGGTTGCTTTGTGACTGGAAAAGGGGGAGGGCCAGGGTATAGTATACCATTATTGACCGCTTTGAGAGGTGTAGTAAAACTAAATGTAGGCTTTTGAGGTGATCCATGGAGCATTCTTTCTCCTGAAATGAAGCCAAGGGAATGAACAAAACTCACTCAAACATTTTTGTGAAGGGGTGGTTTGGAAGAGAGAAATACATTGTTCACCAATTTTGTATTGAAATAAAAGTTCAAATATATCAAATGACAAGGATCGATATGTCAGTTATATAAAACAAATATTGAGTGGCTTTAAATTGTGAAATGGGAGGAATATTATCGCTCGGTAAAATCTGGACTTTTCCAGTTCACTCGGCTTCACCTCGTAAAATGGAAAAGTCCAGATTTTGCCTTGCGATAATATTCCTCCCATTCCACGCTGATCCAGTCAATATTTGTATACCATTGCATAAAGCATTTCACCAAATCTGTTATTTTTCCTTTTACAGACTTGATATTTTTAAGAGACTCTTGTCCAGTGGCGTAGCCAGGAATTTTTCAGTGGGGGGGGCGCTGGGGGGGCTGGAACATTTCATGGGGGGGCGTCATGTAGATCAATGATAATTTTTTTAGAAACTCAAAATCTCAGTGGGGGGGCGACTGAGGGGGGGGCGGTCGCCCCCCCCCCCCCCCCCCCCCCACGTCCCCCCTTGGCTACACCACTGCTCTTGTCTGAAATCATCCCTCTTGAATCTGAGAGAAAGGCATCATCACTATATAAAGAAATGCATCTCTAGACCTTTCATCCAACTTTCAGACCTTTTTTTTCAAAATTGCCAATCTCATCTCTACTTGTGACCACCTACTTTAAAAAAAGAACCCATTTGTTACAAATAATGCCAACAATTCCATTTTGATGCAGGTATTTCTCTCATTTCTTGGGGTTTTTTTTCTGGGCAGGATCAATCTGGGTAAGGTCTTGGAAGCCCAGGGTGAGTACGAGTCAGCCAGTGACTGCCTCCTGACGGGATTACAGCTGGAATCCACCTGCCCGGTCCAGCCCTTCACAACGGCAGGCAGACTGGCCTGAGATGTACTCCCAGTGGAGAATAAAAGTTCTGCTTCCAGTTACCCTACCTACCCTATTTTGACAGCCCCTACCCTTATTTTGTTTTTGCTAAAAATGAGGAAAAAAGAGGAAAATTATCAATTACTACTTTTACCGTTGACTACAAGCAGACACCTTCATATGATCGTTCCCAAAAAAATTTGCCGAAAAAAAAATCCCTACCTTCCTACCCTATTTTCAAATGCCATGCAATCAGAAACAGAACTAATTTTTTTGGCCTAATGGCATTTTTTTTGTTTTGTAAATCGCTTGTTTTTGGCCAATTTGCCAGGGCAATATTCAGTAGACCAGACAATTTGACCTTTGATGGTCAAGAATCACAACTGTCTATCAAGTTATTTGATAAGCCCAAGAGTATGACAACCAGCCAAAAATTTACAAAAATGACTGAAATCTGAACCTCAACCAGATAAAATGACTGAGCCGCATGGCTTAGCCAGTTTAATACTCTGGCGTTTAATCCTCTCTGAATGTTTAAGGTGACATAATTAAAATGGGACCAATTTTATAAAGAGACCAAATTATATTCTAAGCAAAATCAACCGTAAACCAGCCACAGTCCATCTGCGTCACATTATTTTTTTAGCTGGCAACCTGCGATGCTTAGCGTAACTTATTTTTTGTACCTGGCTGTGTTTGTGCTTAGAAACTCCTTCAGTATTGACCCTTGGGCACAGGACAAGTTCACCTCCAATCAAAAATGACCATCTACGCCAAATACATACAACAAAAGGCCTTCTATATTTGTCCACCGTGGTGAATATTTCTGCGTCCTTATTTTGAAAACAAGCAAGTTTGTTTAAGATACCGTTTGGGATTGAAGTAGTCCTGAACAAGTTTATCTTGGCTACCAATCAAGTCCTGCGCAACGGCATACGCAAGCGCTTAGGTTTTCCCTGGTAACCCAGTGGTGGATGCAGGGGTGTGGCTAGACCATTTGAATTTTTTTTTTGGGGGGGGGTGGGAGGAGGGGGTTGACAACACCCATGCTGAAAAATTGCCTGGAATTGTGTTAAGGTCTTCAGGCCATCACAAAATTTAAAAAAAAAACGGGTAATAGGGGGTGGAGGCTGGATACCATCTAAGTTTTGGGGACAAAAATGAGTTGGGGGGGGGGGCCAAGGGGGGGGGGGGGCAGGAGCAGGGGGGTGTTCACACCCCCTATAGCAGCACCCATAAGCATATCCACTTTGAATAATTTGAAAGCAAACAATGCGAACGAAGGGCCGGGGTAACAGCCCTCATTTACTATTGTCTACCTGCAATTTTTATCAATCTCGATCCGCCACTGAAGCCATGCAATCTGGAAAAAAATACTGATAATTGCACAACAACAGATAACAGAAGAGTAGAAAGAATGGAAGAAATAATAAATGGGTTATTTAATTTGCTCTTTGAGGAAGATCGGATCATGGTTTTAAAGAAAATATTGTTCGAATATAGGAAAACCAAATTCTGAGCAGAGCATCTTTTTTATATCGATTGGTGCCAATTTGACAGCAAAACAAATTAAACAATGTTTTACTCTATGTGACCTCTGGAACTTTGCAAGGTTTATAAAGTAGCAGGTTCGAATCCTGTCAGATCAATTTTACTTTTTTTTAACTGAAGATTTAGTAAAGTGAACTTAGTTAATGACCCATTGTGACTTATCTGTGAAGTATTTCTGTGTCACGTACTGCCTTCTTTTGAAGTTTTCTGTCACAGGTTGATATTTCAGTAGTTTTCAACGTTTACTGGATCTTGCAGATTGTCTTTAATACTGGAGCACTTTGCGTGTATGACTAACACCATCAAAATGACCAAACTTACCAAAATTTGACCAACCTTTGAATAGTATTTTTTGTCTTTAATCCATCTTTGGTGGAACTTTACTGTGTTGTATATTTGAGGCTTATATAATATTAACAATAAGATTCATAACAATTGGGAATTTGCTTGCAAAACTGTCGTCAGATGTTCAAAAATTTAATTTCCAAATCATTGAAAATAGTCGACATTTTGCCTGGTACTTGGACTTAGAACCCAGGCACATGATCACTGTGCACTCATGAGGCCCCCGTCAATGGAGAAACCATTGTGCATGCTATTGTACAAAGCAGCTGCCCAGTGACCGGTATTCTGAACAATAGCTAGCACAATGCTATCGCCATTGAAGGGGGCCTGTGATAGAAATGATAGCGTGTCCGAATTGGTCTAGACCATTTTATATTTTAGTATGCTTCCAAAATGCTCTACTACATATTTCTGACTTTAGGTGTTATTATTAGGGCATGTTGTGTATTTATCAAATGAAAGATAAACTTGTGTACATATTCATGTAATATACTTGAACGTTCATAGAGATTATATGAAAGCTTTGTACTTTGTGAACCTCGACTGCACATGGCATGTTTTGGCATTTTGTGCAGAAGTCAATTATGTATCTCAGTACTTCCGTAAAAGTTTGGGTCGACTTTTGTATACGTTTGCTATGTTGTGTTTTGTTTAACTTAAAACATATTTGCGTGTAGTGTGTTGTATTTTGCTTCTCTCTTAATCTCTGTAAGCTATCAATTTATACGATAAGTGAAGTATGTCAGTAACTGTGAACTATTGTCTAAACCTCAATTAAATTGATTGTAAATGATTTACTTAAATTAAGCACGAATAGTAAATTTACTCTCCAAATTCCAAAGAGTGAAATTTCACTCCATTCGAGTGAAGATTCATTCCCATAGTCGGAAACTAGGGACTAGACGTTTTAGAGTGAAATGTCTTCAATCGTAAAGATCGAGTTTTCACTCGAGCTTCGACTGAAGTGGTTCATTTTTCAGACTATTTCAATCGAAAATGAGAGTGATTTTCACTCTAAAACATCTAGTCCCTAATTTCACTCTTTGGAATTTAGAGAGTAGTCTTCTTCGTGGGTCAGGCGTTTCTTTGTCTTGATGTGCTTTTCGGTGAAGCAAATTTATATCAATCCTAAAGTACACTACAAATAGTTGATGAAGATCTTTTTAAAAGGGAAAGCGAAGAATCTTGGGAGAGTGTATACAGTCTTTAAAAAAATGCCTGGTCAGATTTGACCCGGAATTGACCTAATAATTTCAGGGTCACGTCAAAAAGACCTTTTTTTCTGCGTCAAAATGACACTTTCGCCAATGATTCTGGGTCAAAAAGACCCAGAAAATAGTCAGGAGAAGGTCATTTTGACACGGGAAAGTCTCATTTTTGACCCTGAAAAATGTTAAGCCAAATAGAACCGGGATTCCGGGTTACTCTGACCAGAAAGTTTCCAACACCTATATATTATACAGTATGTCCCCCAAGTGTCCGTCTGACAATTTTTGAAATCACTACAAAACCATGAAGTCAATTTTGAAATGTTTTAATATATAGTGCAGATACTCCTTATCCTCGGCCTAAACTTTAAGGTTTTAAATTGTCAGACGGACACTGGGGTTTTTTTTGGGGGGGACATACTGTATGAACTCGAAATTATATTCCATTAGAATATGGAATTTAATGTTGGGAATCGAATGAGTTATTTTTTTTTATAGAACGGTGCAATGAAATTCGTGGATTGCATGTGCATATGCACGGCACTTTCTGTTAACACACGTAAGAAAAATGGATTAAGTGAAATATCGTGCAATACATTTTGAGGGTTAAAAAGTGTTAAAATAATCATTGTTATACATTCAAAATATGTTTTTTTTCGTGCACTATTCCATTGGAAGTGAATAAAATTGAGAGGATATTAAAAAAAATACGTTTCAGACAACAAATGTTCTTTGGGATGTGGATCGTGTGTAGTTAAGTGAGATTCTGACCTGTTTGGAATTGAAATAATTGTGATTTATCCCCAGAAGCTAAACAGTTGGCGCATGTATGTCCACTCTTTGGGGTGTACACGCCCATGGCCGTCACGGGGGGGGGGGGGGGGGGGGGGCAAATATCCCTGCCCACCCTCCAAAAATGATCAATCGGGAAAATGCTGGAAAAAAGTGTACACGCCCATGTACACGCCATTTTTTTTCTCGAAAGATTCGTTCCACGATAAGTAACAGATTAAACAAGTTTTAAACTTGACTCAATTCAGCTAGTTCTATACGTTAATTTTCCGTCTGCGCGCGAAGTGCATATAATAAAAAAAAAAAACAATATTATTTTCTAGAAGTTAGACCACATGAGCCGGAAGTGCTTTTGTCCCGTTCAAAAACAGTTTTTCCTAACTTCGGGGCAAATCCAGTGAGTGAGATTTTCAGCATTCATCTGATGAGCTGGGAAATACGACCTTTAATGTAATAAGTGAACATCTGAAAAGGTTATCCGAAATTGAGGACTGAATAGCGAGAAGTTTACTGACTTGATCATAGCTCAAGAATTTATAGTGTCGGCAGGATTTGCCGAGATACCGTGACTGCCTAACACGTCCTGAAGGTGTAGTCCAAATATTGACCGTACCAGCTTCGCATCGGTGCTACTTGAAACATCATTATTGATATAAGATCGATAACTGTGCTCAAAATGTCATTAATTGTTAGTCGTTCAAGTACATAAATGCTATTTCCTAAAAAGAAAAGTGGGCTGAGCGTTTTCTTGAACCTTTTGTCTCGTACTACACTCTACCCCCATCCCCTCCTCCCAAAAAAGTAATGGCAAATGGCATCTCGTTATAATGTTCTTCTCATTTCTTGTTTCATAACTTTTGTTTTATTTTCTTTCAAAGTTAGATTTTTCCAAAGTGCTTATCCAACGCTACGAGACGATTTCTTTTACTCCAACTAAGTTGATGTACACAAATCTGTATACGACCAGGGACAGTGGATTAAAAATAGTTGCAGCAACTGTTAATTGTATCCTAATACATTGGCAGTTCCCGTTGAGGTTTGTGTATCCGTGATTTTTGAGTGCGGCACTCCTGAAATAAATTTTCAAAGTAAATTGCAAGATTTTAAGCATTAGAGCTTTCAATATAATGCCCTTTCGAATAAAAAATGGGCCTACATAGGATAATACCGACGAGGCGGTTTCAAATTCTGAACTACAGCGTTGCTGATTTCATGCAGTTCAGAAAGTTTGGTAGGTATTTTCTTTAAAAAGTATAATGAGGTTTTCTTGATGATTCGTGAGGGGGAAACCCATTAAATTGATTTTTTTTCACTAGAGCACAGACAAAAAACTTCGAACGTCCCAAATCCCTTGGCCATTGCGATGATTATCCGCCAATCACAAGTCTCTTCTCGCCGGCCGGTGACCAATCACGACAAACCCGATGACGTATCACAAAAACACACAGCGCAGAGTTTACAGGATCTAGCAACGAACGAGACGAACAGAATGGGGAATCTGAAGAAGAGGTCACGAGTGTAAACCCTGCAAGATTCATCAACAAATACAAATAACGACGAGTGTTGACGTTGCTGATAAGTGTTGACACGCTCGATGATTGGCGTGAAGCAGCTTACGTTTAGTTCGGTCACTTACGGACTACCATCGTTGGGATGTAGATGCAGACAGACAGAGAGAAAGATACCGTCTGGCAGATGATGTACAACTGCTGTAGGCTTCAGTTCCCCGTAGAACAAGTGGATGTAGTCTTGATTGTCTCCTGTAATTTAAAACGCATGCTTGAATTCCTGCAAGACAGTGAAGCTTAGCACGGTGTAGACCTGATGTAATTATGATAACTGACCCAACTCCGATGTAAAGATGTTCTGTTTCGTCAGATGATTCCAGATTTGCGAACGGGACTTTTCAGCATTCCGTTGCTCGCTTCCATTCGGAGTTTTGACTAAAAGATCTTCGGCGTCAGATGTTTGCATGCGTGACCTGGGTTGGACCAAGTTTGTATGGTTTATTCTAGTTTGACTTTGGGTTGAATTCATCAAGATTGGCTGACGTTGTAAGCGAGAGGTATTCACAATGAGTTTTCTGGGCATTCAACCTGTGTTTTGTAACTTCACCACTGCCGCGACTGAACCGGGGTATGTGACCCGTAAGTAAACGTGTGATCATCTGTCTATTTATAATTTGTATTACCGAAATATTACCAAAAAGCTTTTAATACATGATTTCAGATCGTACTGTCACTAAACACCCTGTGAAATTATTCTTTCTGGCTTGCTTTTATTGAGAAGGAATCAAGAAATGTAGGCCCCTGTAGGTGATTTCCAACGATTGACTAATGTTTTGAAACTTTTTGGAAGTTTCGTGATCAAAAAGTTGTGCAGGATTTTTCACTGTTTCCTCAAAAGTTAATATACACTGAGCTAAAACTTCAAGTTGTTAGCTTTTGAACATTCTTCTTTTGAATTTTCAAACGAACAAAATGCATGAAAAGTAAATGATCATACAAGCCTATAATGTTCGAACAACAACGACTGAGTAGTTTACTTGATCTTGCGTTTTCCAGAGTTTTTCCACGAGAGAGTACAATCACTCCCACCACTACCTCTCTCACCCTATTATTGGATCATTTTGCATGTTCAAAATCTTGTACGTGTATTGAAATTATATAGGAATAGTCTAGTACCTGGTTGTATTTTAAATCGTTGTTTGTTTTTGTATGCGGTGTCTTGGGATAAAAACAGAACCTGGGAGTTCTCCCCTGGTGGCGCGCTTCCGGAACCCTTGAATAGGCAAATTAACTTGTAAAAGTTCTAGAATTTGCAATTATTTTAAGTGCATTTACTTCTTAATAAAATCACCCTCGGTAAAAGGTCTTTGTAGAATTGTTACTAGCAATCAATACTTTTGATGGAAACTGATAAATCGCCTAACACGAAAGAGAAATATCGTGCCAAAAATTGACCTCTCACTTCAGAATATCTAACCAACATAAGGACTATAGTGAAACTTACGGATGCATATACCCCAAAGTCGGTTGGAATTTCTCAAAATGAGAATTTCTATAATTATGGTGGCGATTAGGTGAAAACTGAACGTGAAATAAAAGACAATGATGTCTTTTAATATTTTTAAGTTGTGTGAATAAGAAAATAAATCTAAAATTGACCGTTTATAGACTTGCACCCACGATCTGCTCAAGCCAACCCCACTAAATCTAGAACCCATCTGCTGCTAAATTTTCGCGACGTTATACGTTCTCGTTCTTACGGAAGCAATATAGAAACAACTGGGGACGATTATGACCCGTTCACTACTTCGTTTTCTCGTTATTTATATGTAAAACGTTTTAGCATTGGGGACATTTGGTAAAAAGCATGAAGTTTTCTTTTCTCACTGGATACTGAATGTACGGACCGGATATCTTCCGAGATTTCTTTTCTGGCCTTTATAACCTAGCTTGTGTGAACTTTGAGCAAAATTGGTTCTCGTTCCTTACACAGAGCTGAGCATGGAGCCCATCTATTCGCTGATTTTCCTCTACGCTTCGATAGTATCCGTGGTCACGCTCGTCTTGTTCCTCGAGGCTTGTCACTTCGTAGCTACCCGGGTACCAAGATCAGCTGTGGCCAATCAACGCCTCAATACGGTCATCATAATGTCCATCTTCCCTGTACGTGCAAGCTGATTGGTTGACCGCGTTTTCTTTCCTTTTAATTTTAGTTTCTTGTGGCTGTGATTACAGTGGCTATCGTCACCATTTAAAAAGTACATAATTATTGTTTGGTTGATTTAAATAGTTCGCTTTCTTTTGGAGAGATCCTCATGATTAGTTCCATAACCCAAGCGAATCCCATACGTTTGACAAAAGATAATACCAATTTGATAGGTCACTATGAACCAATATTGACCTGCTTCTCAATGTGACCCACTCTATCACCAAAAATAGTTACCTTTACTGCATTGTTTGAAATGCAATCACATCAGTACGCGATATCAATACATTTGTTGAACCATGGAACCGTGGTCAGAGTGTTTTTAGCCCGTGTTCTTAGCTAGCGCTTTTCTTCAAAATGGTACAATGGATATACATAAAACTTTCGCCAAATATGTCCAACATACCAGCCTATAATATATCTCATTTGCACTTGTTTTGATAATTGCTACATGTTTTTAATGTTTTCTTTAAATTGTGTCCATATCGATCTAACTCGCCCCGTATTGGGTAAATGTTATATTGGATTTAAACCTTTGAACTGTATTGACCGTATGCCACTTAGTTGTCGCTTAACAACTCTACACTGATAAACAGGATTAAAAATAGCAAATGTTATTGTAATCGCGGCGGCAAATGGTCACTAAGGGAGACATCCCCATAGTGTTGTGCACCAAATGTTTCCAACTTTAACGACCCCTAACCCTATTTTCCCGTATATCCTACCCACACGAATGTTGGTATATTTATGTGGTGGACCATGAGCAATCGGTCTATTTGCGACATTAAAGTTTTGCCTCTAAATTAGAGTTGGGACATTAGGGAGACATTGAAATGTCTCCTTAATGTCCGGTGTATAAAACTGATAACGAAACCAATGTCTCCTTATGGGTACATTAACATTTTTTTTGGTGTCCACAGCGACCTGGGCCCATTGAATGGCTGTGTTTACCCCAAAATACTTCACCGAAAATCACTTTTGAGTGTTTTGTCATATTGAAGAAATTCTACGCTTCCCTATTAGCACAGAATACTTATTGTTAAGAAATGTATAGCCAAGCGCATCCGCCAATTTCCCCGCCCAGCCACGAGATACCCTTTACTCATTCATTATTTTCTGCAATTACAATTAGCGAGGATTCTCCGCTAACACTAAGCGGGTAGGCCTACATGATCGGTGTGAATGTTAACCCTAAAAGGGCCGGGCTAGTTTGATCATCTCCCAGCCACGGGGGCGGCCCCCCTAGGATCTCAGCCATCGAGTGACGGAAATTTTTTTGAAACTCAGTACATGCATAGAACCACTTATCATGAACATAGGTTAAAGGGTTTTGGAATTTTGGCTAATTAATTATTCATATGCATGAATGGTAATTTTGCTCTGTGTACACTACGTATATGGGAAATTCAGTTTTCACGGAGCGTAGCGCCGGAAAATTTTTCGCTGCGCGGCAACCCGTTGTCCGATATTTATGTTTTTGGTTTATCAAAAGATGCGCAAGGCTCTGGGCTAAATAGTCAGAACAGCTCGGGTCGCGAAATTTGTTTTAAAGCTATCGCGGAAAAAGTTGAGGGGGGCGGCTCCGCCCCCGGCCCTTTTAGGGTTAAACAGTTTCAGAAAATCGATTGTCTGGGGTGCAGGCTTTTCCAACAGTCTGGGAAATTCTATGCTGTCCTATACGTCTCAAGTCTGCGATGCTTCTTTCTCGGGAAGGTCGATCATAGTGAAAATGTTAAAGCAAACTGTTACTAAGGGCTTCTGAAAAACATTCTTTTTACGTTTCCTCGTTTTTGTCTTATCCGACAGGTATTTATTCTGGTCTGTCTACCATCTCTGCTCGTACCGACTGCTGCTGCATTCTGCCTCGCACTAGCTGACCTGTAAGCTTTAAAACCTATTTCGAATGACGAATTTTCGTATTTCCATTTGCTCATAAAAGACCCAACTTGTGCAGGGTGCCTTAAAATAAAGTATACCTATGTTTTAAAATGTAAATTATCAGAAATGTACTGAATATTTCAGAAAGAGGCAACCACGAGGAAAAAGGCCGGATGTCCTCTATCCAATGATCAACTCGGGGAAAAACGAATGTCCACATTTATTGGAGGGGTCATAATTTTGACTCTGATCGTCTTATGATGACGTCATTTATAGACCTTTGGGGAATTGTGTTAGCTACATCTTGATACCCCGTTTGCTACCAAAGACTGTAAATCGTCCAGCATTAACAACGGTTTATGAAAAATGCGGCAGTTTGAAAAGTAGCAAATTTTAAGGTTACTCGAGGAGAAATTGCTTACAAATATTCACACCAACTTGTCATTGTGTGTTGTCCCAGGTACTACTCATTCACCATGTTCAAGTTCATCGTACTTCAGGTTGGCTACTACGGGGGTCATCGTAAGATGATGGTCAAACTGACCACTCAGGAAGTGACCTTTCGAATCAATGTCCCCGTCCTCTGCTGCTTCTTCTGCTTCAAACCTTTTCGTCTCACACGGTAAATGTCAGTAATTTCGATGTCTGTGCTGACTTCTACGGGGAATAGACATGCATGCATAACACTCGCCGGGAACACCGACTACCAGCGAATGAAGTTTGTCTCGAACCCAGTAGGCCTATAAAAAAAAATGGCTCATTGGGTCAATGATTATCACCAGTTTTCATGACGTAGTTTGAAATATTGATATTTTTCCTAAAGTAACATCCAGAAGCGGTATACCTCCCAGCTAATGCAGGTACCCATTTATACTCCTAAGCAAGCAGGTGTAAAGTGGATTGCCGAAGGACACAACATAGCCGGTAGTTCATCCAAAGTCCTCATGTATTGCGAAATAATAGACCCTTCTCATGCTGCCACCATTTCAGTCATGTTCCCTGTATCCAATAACAGTACGGAATGACAATGTTTTTTGTGCAAAAAGGAACCAGACTATATTTCCTTCCAGCCTCGCTTTGGTTTCGTTGATTTGAATGGGAAACAATAAGAATGGCCGCAACGTGATAATGGTCTATAGGTTATCCTAACCGCAATCCCGATCTGGATTTAGCGACGTCAGAGAGACACGGGCGGTCCTTTTATTTGTCGTTACTGATGATATAAAAGTGTCTCCATCCACAATCCCCATGCCAAATGTACCGGTACCACACCAAGGTGAACAAGTTCTCGCTACGCCTACAATTTTATTTAATCTTCTTTGGGCGAAATTTGTGTATCATTTCTTTAATTATTTTTCCAATTTCCATTATCACCTCGCAGAAGACGTTTCTTTTGGCTCAAGATCGGTGTCCTGCAGATTGCTATTCTGAAACCACTCCTGACGTTCACGCAAGCTATCATGGGGTTCGCACAGTTGGTAAGTGTGGGTGATCTGATACACCGTGCCCTCTGGAGACATGCACACAATAGGGAACAAAAGATTGTATACGTCTACACAGGGCAATTTCTATAGATGAACCACAAGGTTTTCACGAAATAGATATATGGATTTTAGCCAAGGAAACTAATTCTGGTTAAAGTGAGAGCATTTTGGAACTACAATTTCAAACTCGAAAACTTTACTACACGAGGACAAAGAAAATGTCTCCACAAGGATACAAATTTCAGTATGCAAGTGGTGGTGAGGGGCATTCGCCGTGGTCTATTACATAGACTAGCTGCTGCTGCTGCTGCTCACAGTGCTCATGATGCTACCACAGCAGCTACTGCTGCTAAATGTTGCTTATATAAGATTATATCATTAAACATTATTTTAAAAAACAGTTCAAAATAACTAATAAGTTAAGTAAGTAGGTTCAAATTCCTGTCAAAAGTGGGTTTCCTTCTTTTTGAACCCTGTAGCTGCTCTTATTCACGAGACTGCTATTATGCAACCACTCTTTAATAAACGCTGCATCCGCAAATTCAATATGTTGCTGATTTTTCTTTTCATAGCTTTGTTTCTACCTCAATTACAGCGATTTTAGCTTCATTCGAAAGGATTTAAATACTTCTACGATCTCCATAATGATTGGACCTTACATCAGTGGCGCACCCGGGGGGGGGGGGCTCGGAGGCTTGAGCCCCCCAAGAGGTTGTCTTTGGGGGGGGGGTAATGTTTTTTTTAGTCCCACGATTTGGCCTTGGTGATATGAATGTGGCCTGTTTTCGAAATGTATAATAGGGGTGTAAGTGGCGCCACCAACGTCAAAATAGGCCGCCCCTCAAGAAAAAAAACAAATTTGTAAAAAAATAATTTTTGAGCCCCCCCCCCCCCAAACAAAATACCAAATCCTGGGTGCGCCACTGCCTTACATGTTCACAATGTGGCAATCATCCCAAACAAAATGTGCACGGCATCAAAACAAATACTCGATCTATAGGCCATAGATCGAATAGATAACAATACATATTATGGAATCTGAATTAATTATAGATCTACTCTTACCACTTTTTAATTACTTCACTGGCTTTAATTTGTTTCCATGTTTCTTTTCATCTTTCAAAGGGAGGACTTCTTCAGAGTCTGTTCATCGTTGATCTCGTCACTATAGTAACGACCTTAGTCGCCGTGACGTCACTGAACATGATGACGGAAAACTCCGCCAGCAAAGAAATCAAGGAGAAGTACTGCTTAGAGGCCAAGTCTCAGATTATGAGCGTGGCTTTGATCATTCTAAGCCTACAGAAGTCCATCATTGGTATAGCGGTTCTCTTCAGGCCGCTCGGCTGCCTGGTGCCAATCCCTACCTATCTACTGGGAAACCGTAAGTTTGGTGTCTCCTTCATCAATTATCTCACTGCTTAGATTTCTCTTCCATCCATGCATCTATCTGTTTAGATATCTGCTCTGTTTCGCCGCTGGCTCTTGGTCTGTGGAATCGAACTCAGTGGCCAATTCTGCAGGTTCGATTCCAGCAAGTTGGGTCGTGGTGCGTGTGCCCTTGGACAGTTGGGCTGCACACTTTGTCACTCGCTGCTTCATAATACTTAGTCTATGGAATAGCCGCTTGCACACAAGGTTCTATGATATTCGTGCAGATTCGGCGACAAATTATGCAAAACAAGACTGCGTCTTGATCTTCAGATTCTGAGCATTCTGAGCATTCTATCGGGTCTTTCGTAACCCGTTGCTGTGTTACTAAAACATGACAACAAAAATTGACCAATCAACAGCTTAGTCCACATGTCTGATCGAAATGTCGCCATTTGTAAAGTGGACTCCGATTGCTAGCGCGCAGGCTCGCATGAAATTTGCATGCTCGGATAATATCAGACGTTCGTTGCGTTGCTTTGCCCACTTGGATGTCCAATCCTCATGCTACATAATAGGGACATTGTAAAACTCGATCACAACAGTGTTACCAAAGCCTCCCAACGCGATCCGGCCAGTCTGCAGTGTTCGCTCGTACCCCCCCCCCCCCCCCCCCCCTGTAAACAGGACGCTGGGATACTCTGATGAATTCACGCTCTGATTGGTTGGATTTTGCGTGACCAGTGACCTGCGCGTCATCAAAGTCATGACTCTGTAAGGTTTGAAACGGCCGTTAAGACTGATTCATTACTCTTTTATTCCAGTTTAGAGGTGTGTTTTTTTCTCGTTGAAATGCGTAATAATGTAGGAAATTCTGTAAAACATATCTGTGTTGTAAATTTATAATTCCCGTCACTCGCTTAGGCTCCGTTTCAAATCACGAACGGTCGGATACTCGGATTGCATTATGCGATGCTCAAAATTTTGTCCACATGTTCCGCAATGAAACAGAAATCACATCCGGTATGGAATGTGCGCAATTCTATGGGAAGTTTTCGGATAGCATTTGCGCACATTGTCTAACTGCGGTCTTGAACAGCTGCAGACAGATGCTTTATACATAGGTCATAGATCACTTCCTTCACTGTGAAGCTCATCAGAGTATCCCAGCGTCCTGTTTGCAGGGGGATACGAGCGAATCTGCAGTGTAGGTCCGCTACACCGCTGACTTGCTTATATACCTCAAGAGAGAAAAAAAAAACCTCATCGGGAAATACTTGATCCTTTATTGATATTTCCTTCCCCCCCCCCCCTCAATGTTATTCACAGAGTGGCAGTCGTTGATTCTCCTGCTGGAGTCGACCTTCATGATGATCCCAGTGCTGAGGTTCTTCCGGACAGCCGATGGCAACGTGGTGGGCGTTCCCCCGCCCCTTGAACATCCCGAGGAGGAGGAGGAACCGCACTCGCAAATAGGCAAGATGAGGCAATGGGTACGCCGACACACCCTCATGTGATCACACTGGCTGATATGACTTGCTCCGTCAAAACGCATTGTCCCTCTTTGTAGGTATATTAAGGTGTATAAACAAATCATAATAACAACAGCAATATGAATGAAGTCTGTTTCGTTTAAAGGCAAGTAGCTTTAGTAGCATTGGTAACTTCCTAGTAAAATATACCGAATTAAAATGAGCAAAACCTTGCTCAAACTGAAGATAGGGCTGGTCCCGAGTACAAAGAAATAAAACATTGAAGGTGGCCTCAAAAAGTGTGCCCGCGGGCACATTTTTTTCTACGGATATCGGTTTTGTTTTTGTTCAAACGGATTCAAGTTGTACATTTGCCACTTAGCTAAAAACTTTCACAAGTTAGGCCTAATTGTTTTGCACCCTACTTAAAATTTTGAGCAACTTTGTTGCTTCAAACGAAAAAAAAAGCAGCATAAACAGCAACATGATCATATTAAGTAGGCCTACTTTCGAATAGACTGATTGCTCACTTACAAAAAGTAGGTTTGTCTATTTGTCAATTTAGGTGGTTTTGGGGGGTTTAAATACAACTGCGAAAAAGCCTTTTTGGGTAAGGTGGGCAAAATAGAGGGCGCTATTTTGAGCGGGTACACTTGTGAGCCATTTCGGGCGCGAACTACAGTTAACCGTATAGTTCGCCTACAACTTCGCTCGAACAAAACCGGAGCATGGGGCCCCATGGGCGTCGCAAGGGGGGGGGGGGGGGGGGGACGCTTGCCCCCACCCCCACCCCCACCCCCCTGAAAAACCAAAAAAAAAAGTACAGGGATTTCGGGGGGGGGGAATATGCTTTGCCCCCTCTAGAAAAAATCCTGGCAACGCCCATGTGGGACACGGTTGCATCGCTGGTTACCAGTAGCAACTGTGCTCATTAAAAAACCCGACAGGGAGACGGGACTTTTGATCATTCTGACCAGAGGCGTTTGCGCGCTGCTATTAGTGCGCAGACGTTAGTTGCGTCACAAATCAACCACTAGTTGACTAATTGTGCTCACCCGAATGTGTACATACAAAAGTTCACCCACCCAAATATTAGCGCCCTTTAGACTGATGCTAGTCTCTCAGTAGAATTTAGCAGTGCATCACAAGCGCTTAATATATGTTTACATAGCCTACAGGTACACTTCTCATCGATCATATGTGCATACCACACATATACGCGTACTATAAATTAATACAACTCTTTGATGAATCAATACAACTCCTTGTTATCAGTTTTAATATTATAAAAGATTCTTGTACCTATTGTTATTAATCTCTTACTCATTTTGTTAGTTCTTGAATTGTATAAAAGTGTTACGTTAAATATTCACAATCTCGCAAGAATGCCCGCAACACTCATAATCTTAAGTAAGCTTGAATTGCAAATTCGAAGTGTCAATTTTTGAAAATCGGATTAAGAAACTAATGTCGATTCCTTATGAAATAAGTTTACATCCGAATAAAGAGAAATGAATACAGTCCATATAAGTATACGCAAATATATGTATATAAGTAAACTACATGACGTATGCGCTAACAAAACCCATCACTGACGTAATCTCTTTTTAAATGGGTTGCATAGAGTGGACATCGGTAAACTTTACCTATTGACTTCCAGACCAGTATTCATACCTTATGGCAATCATAAATCAACAGCAGTTACCTTAAAATTACATGCTTCGTAGTTTCCTTAGGAAAATGGCCTTTAAATTATCTTATATAGTTTTTACTTGTAAATAATGTGTTTTTATCTCATGTTTGATATCTATTTGTAGTTGTCCTATTAAACCGATTAAGCGTTAAGAAATTTTCTGGTTTATTAAATTGAGTGTTGGCTTTTTTGGATTCAATGTGTTTGGCCTTTAAATCGAGTATTATTCGGTGATTTTTGTTCAAGAGTTTGTTATGACTGCTGGGGTTGTCTGGCCCTAGTCGTAAAAAAATGATCGGTCCGTGGCGTTTTAGAGTTCAGCATGCCTCGACGGGCGTCGCTAGAAGGGGTAAGGTGTGTCTCGTAAACCGCTCCAAAGATGGGTTCATGTTCTACGATCATCTAAATCGAGATTTTCCATTGTATGAAAGAATTTGGAGGGTTTTTAGATCAGTCTTCGACAGATCTGCTACAAGCATACAGCAGCAACATTAAGGGGAGGATCTGCACATTGGCCATAAATCTGATCGCTAATCGACCATAAATTTGGAAGTCTCATTAGCCTTTGAGCCTGGCAGTAAATTGCTCCAGTGTCAACACAAGTCTCAATCGCAATGTTACAAAGGTTGTTCTTGTTCGATAGTTCTTTGATAACGAGATGTGTAGTTTGTTCCCGTTTAATTGATGTGTTCCGCGTACGGCCAAGTACAAGTTCAACACAGTGGATTGATAAAAACGCGAACTCGCGGTGTGTGGGCTCAAATGTGTCGATTGGACTTCCAATGTAAATTCGTATTGCAGATTCAGTGATATACTGTGGTTGAAAACGGGATTTGTGAGCCAAGATATTTCAGGCAATTCAGGCTATATCTTCGCCTGTTGCATGGGCTGTTCCTTTGCCACATGTATTACTTTGTGATGACAGTAAAACTGCCATCGTGAAGACAGGAAAGCGAATACCCATTTCAAATACTGGAAGCGCTACCTTGTCTTTTGAGCTCTCTTGGTGTAATTCTTGAATTTCCAAGATGGGGGCTATGCTAGGAATCCCACAGAAATTTTGCCCCGGTGAAAACGAAACAAACTGGGCAGATGGATCTCTGACAACCGGTAAGACCTTTCTTTAAAACTTGAGGATTGTGTTTTTGAAGCCTATATTTGAATATAAATCTTTCCTTCAGTTTGGGATTAGTATATCATGGATCTTCCTGAGAAGCTTTTTTCAACCATTGTAATGTGAGTGACAAATTTTACTACTATGTAATATTTATAGAAATGTGATCATTCGTGAAAAATTGAATGCTGAAAATTAATACCAAACGTGTTCAAATAACATGAAGGAAGTTAGTGAAGTTTTCTAAAGTTATTTTTGTAAACCTCTTTTCTCTTTTCTCTTCTTTCTGGGGTATGTTACCGCGTTTTGAAGTGGAAGTTCCTGACCCAAACAATTATATATGTTTATTAATTGAATTTGTTTTAGGGTGAAAGAAAAATAATTATTGAAAAACCTTTTATCTTGAACGCAGAGTTGGCCAAGTATCCTCTCTTCACCTTGTTGTTTTCCTACGCATCGGCGGCGAGTTTTATCGTCCTTGTGATATTCTTCGAAGCCGCGTTCTTCACGGCAACGCGAGTTCCTCGATCGTCCGTGGCTAACCATCGAATCAACACTGTTATCATGATGTCAGTGTTTCCCGTAAGTGTAAAAAAAAAAAAATTTAACCCAACATCAGAAGAGTCTTGCCAAGACTTTTAAAATAAAGACATTTGTATTTTCTGTCTGCATTATTATAAGTATTCTTTCCTTTCCTTTCCTTTCCTTTCCTTTCCTTTCCTTTCCTTTCCTTTCCTTTCCTTTCCTTTCCTTTCCTTTCCTTTCCTTTCCTTTCCTTTCCTTTCCTTTCCTTTCCTTTCCTTTCCTTTCCTTTCCTTTCCTTTCCTTTCCTTTCCTTTCCTTTCCTTTCCTTTCCTTTCCTTTCCTTTCCTTTCCTTTCCTTTCCTTTCCTTTCCTTTCCTTTCCTTTCCTTTCCTTTCCTTTCCTTTCCTTTCCTTTCCTTTACTTTTAAAATTCCCTTTTCCCCTTTTAAAATTCCCACCTTCCTTTTCCCTTTTCTCTTTTCCCATTTCCAATCCTCTCCTTCCTTTTCCCTCCTCCCTTTTCCTTTTCCTTCTTCCTTCTCTCCCCTATCTTTTCCTCTTTTTTTCCTTTTGTTGTTTTCTCTTTCATTCCTGAACCCTTTCCCATGTGAGCTTTGTGTATGATATTTAGCGTCCATCACCTCTGCGAGCAAGTCCGAATCCCAGCCCCCACCCCCACCCCTCCCCCACCAGTGAATTGCGTTTTAACCCCTTTCAGAAACTGTGGAGTTCCCTTTAGTGTCATTTTGGATTTTGCACCCCATCTTTTTCAGTCTTCTCTGACCCGCATTTTTCCCCTGAAGCGTTCAAGCTGCAGTTCCTCCGCACATCCTAGGGAATTTCAGTCTAACGAAATATAGGACGCTCTAACGAAATATACGACGCTGATGGCACAAATGGAGCACCATACTTTGGTCTATTTTTCGGGACAGACAGACCATCCGACAGACCGACCACCATGTGACTTGTAGAAGCTCCTGCCAAATCTTAAAATATCGCACCCCGCCCACTTTTTTGGGATATGCATTTGTTCCTTCTGGATATCGTCCAACCACTACACAAAATGGCGTCCACCTTGTTCGAGGAAGCTGTTATACAGCGCAAGTGCGAGTGCATAATGAGCTCTGGCTGTGTTACAAGAAGTCTTGCATGAACGTCTTGCATGAAATCAATCAAAAATATCCCTGCCAGAGCTTAAAAATGCGACGCCGAAAATGCGACGCCGATGGCACATGTGGAACACCATACCGCTGGTCAATTTTTAGGACAGACAGACCGAGTGACAGACAGACAGACCGACCACCAAGTAACATGTGGAAAGTAGAACTTCTGCCAGAGCTTAAAAACGTATTTTTCTTGTTCTTCCTCTGCAGGCGCTGGTAATCTTTGCCCTACCTGCAGTCCTCATTCCAAATGCTGCCGAATTTTGTCTGGCGATGGCAAATTTGTAAGTAGTTACCATTGTGCAGGGCACATCACAGATACTGTTTTAACCTCGGTTTGGGAATAGATTAGCGGAACAAGATTTCATGCAAAATATATCATTTTCAGGCATTGAACGAAAAAAATATACGAACAGTAAGTAGGCCTATATAGGTTTCTAGATAACTGTTACATCTATCATTCCAATTCCAATTCCATTCCACTTTTATTTCGTTCCAAAACGTCGTTGGGCTTCAATGTTAATTTCGATGTCGAATTTTCACCTTCTGACAGATTTAGCATTTTTCGCGGTGTAATTCACAAATGTAGCATTCCGATTCGTCGTGTTTGGTTTCTAATTAATATTAATATAAAGAGTATTAAATGAAATCTATTTGAGCAAGTTTAGAACCTATAATAATTAGTCTCTTTTTACTACCAAGTCATGTTTCTGCAGACAGGACGTATTTCAGTTTTGACGCATATGAGCCTTATTCACGAGTCGGCCATGTTGAGTTGAAAGTTAGGTGAAATCTTAATATTTGGAACTTGCGAAGAGAAATGGAAGCAACTCAGTTTATATAATAAATTCCAGGCTGCTTCAATGAATAATCTAAAATTTGTAATTAAACATTCCTTAATATTTAAAGCTATATTTTTTTTTAAAAATGACGGTAAAATAAGGCTGCATTGTACCTGCATAAATAGTCTGGCACCATCCCATTCAACAGTTAACAATTAATGAAATACATTCAGGGAACTCGACAAAAATGGCCAAATAGAGTGCGGATTGTAGTAAATGCCGTTTTCAAAAATATATTTCATCTGAAAGAATTTGAAACGCAGTTTAGCATTTCTGCGTTTCACACAATTAGTAAAGCAACTGACGAGACATTCTCCAGAGCAATTTGAAGGAAACATGCAATAGGATTTTTATGACTTAAATACGTTTCAAACATTTTTTTCTTGCCATGTAACTATGACTTTCCACCTCCTTTGCAGCAATAAAGGGAGAAATTTCAACATTATAGTTTTCATGCAGTTGAAAATTTCCATATTCATGAGCCAAAGCGTGATGTCATTCAAGGCAAAACAGTAGTGTCTCCAAAGCTTTGTGCACAGATATATGTCGAACTTTTCTGCATTGTCTGGGATAAAGTTCCACTTTTTACTTGTTTATCATGTTAAACAGCTTGTTTGTTCAATAGTAGTGGCCACTATTTCTCCAAACATTTTTTTGTGGGTGATTTTGAAGGACTAATTTTTGTACTGTTCACATGCACTTTTGACAATACAACCTTGTGTGACAAAAGCAAAATAGCGCCGCCTAACATGTGTTGACGAAAGAATGTGCTAATAATTGAAAAATTACCACTTTCTTGTCACTTCCAATGAAAACAAGTATTAAGATATTGTATGTATTGTTTCAACACATAACTATGTGCATGAAACAAGATGAGCTGAATTTCTAGTGCATGTTCCCTTTAAGGAAATCGCGCGTGTTTTGTGCTGTTTTGTTTATTTGTTTGTTTGTCTGTTCAGGGTTGGGGTTTTTTTGGTTATTTTTTTTTGGCTTAGCCTATAGCTATGTGTCTTTTCACTTAAAATCATCACTGTTACTTACAGTCATTGAATGAAAAATGTGCTGATTTTTGCAAATTCCTCTTCCCTGGCAGGTATTTTGCTTTCGTCATGTTCAAGTTTGTCGTCTTGCAAGTCGACTACTACGGAGGCCATCGAAAAATGATGGCGAGGCTGGCCGCCGAAAAAGTCATGTTTAACATTAATGTTCCACTGCTCTGCTGTTTCTTCTGCCTCAAACCAGTTCGTCTGACAAGGTACCTTAAATTTCATAGCATCTTCCTGTTCTTTCAAAATGCATATCGTTACTCGGAGGGAAACTGTCAATAATTTAATGCGTTTGGTTTCAGATATAAACTGGAAAGTAATCCCCCATGACCTCAGTATATTGTTTCCTGAAAAAGAATATTCTCTAGCCATTTTTGAATAGTAGGGCTAAAGGACCAATTTATTATTGACCACCAAACAACCCAGAAAACTCACTAAGCAAAGTCGAGGTCAATTCTCGGGTCAATTCACAAGTAGAAGACACCAGTGCCCAATTTCGTGGCACTGCTTAGCAGTTTGCAGTAAAGTTGCGTTTACTTTAGCAGAAAATGATTGCTAACCCTAAACAGCTATTTCATGGCGTGTATGTGCTAACGTCGCGCGCATGGAGATTTCTATTGTTACGTCACTATAAGCAAATTTTTCCTCCGAGGTAAGCGTGCCTCTTGCTGTGCTTATGCTTACGGTCTCCTTGAGAGAGACGAAAGCTCCAGGGGCCTAATTTCATAGAGCAAAATTTGCTTAAGTACGAAAAAAACATTGCTTAGTAAAATTAGGTTACCGGCCAAAACTCCATGTGATGTACATTGCTTGACGTGAATGGTATTTAGCTGTTGTTTACTTAGCATAACAATCGCATAGAGTTTTGGCCGGTAACATGATTTTTTATTAAGCAAGACGTTTTTGTGCTTAAGCAAATTTTGTGCTTAAGCAGCTCTATGAAATTGGCCCCTGCTTCCAAGCATGTTCCACGTACAATCACAAGTATCAGGTGATGCTCAAAAACAAACGCACTTGAATATCTTGTGACTTCATTTGGGAATGTACACGGGCGTCGCTGGGGGGGGGGGGGTGTTGACACCCCATTAATAGTTTTTGTCGGCAAATTCCTTGTCCTGTCGGCAAAATTGTGTATCCGTCGGCAAATTTTCCGGGTTGAAGAGCGCCACCTATGTCCGATAGTCACCGTGATAGTCCGCTTTGAACAGCGCCCCTATAGGAAGATAGTATCCAGCCCCTGCACCCCCCCCCCCCCCCCCCCCCCCCCCCCCCGCCTTCGCTTTTTGATTTGGCGAAGGGCGAGCGTCCGAGAGACAAATCCTGTCTACCTTTTAGCTCCAATGGTCTGTTGGGGAAAATTCGTTGTCACACCACCCCATTTAAAGTGGTCTGGCGACGCTCCTGGTGATACGTTAGGCCCCCAAAAAAGTCTCCGGTTTCTGGTATGGAGCTTGCCCAAAAAGTGGTGCGACGACGCGGCTTTTTTTTTTTTTTACCTGATTTTTTTGCTTCAAATGTCGGCTGATGACTGCAAATGGTGCCCGACTAAACTTAGTGCAAATATATGGGAGTCCAGAGAGGCCACATAAAGCTTATTCTCGACCATAACCCAATCTAAAAACACGTTAAAATTGTGCAGCAGCAGGATTCCAGTCAAACCAGTGAGTTTGGCGGTTTTGAGACATCATCTTTCATTGAAAAAAAAACTTTTTCATTTTGCCGACGCGCATGGCTACGGCGACGCGCGCATACCAGAAACCGGAGACGTTTTTTTTTTAGCCTTATCACCTCCACAAAGGAGGTTATGTTTTCACCGGCGTTGGTTTATCATTCTGTTGGTTAGTTGGTTGGTTTGTCTGTGAACAAGATAACTCAAATAGTTATCGACTGATTTTCATTAAAATATTTTTAGGGGTGGCATTTGGTACAAGTACAAATCGATTAGATTTTGGAAGTGATCCGGATCTGGATGCAGATCCAGTGTTTTGTTTAAGGATTCTTTACCACATTTCGAGCAGAACAGATTGCCACTGTATGTACGTGTGTGGGTAACGCAGCGTGCGCACACTACTGAAATTTGTATCCTTGTGGAGACGTTTCTTTGTTCTCGTGTATCAAAGTTTTTGAGTTGGAAAGTGTAGTTTCAAAATGCTCTTATTTTAACCAGAATTAATTTCCTTGGCTGAAATTCGGATTTAATATCCCTTTTCTAAAACTCTTCCATTTGTGACTGATCAACCCACCTTGGAAATTCCTAGTTTTTGAGTATAATAAATCTATTTCGTGAAACCTTGTGGAGACGTATTCATCTATAGAAATTGCCGTGCGGAGACGTATACAATATTTTGTTCCCCATTGTGTGCATGTCTCCAGAGGGCACGGTGTATCAGATCAGTCTATGAGCGCATAGCACACACCATTGAAACCAACAGGTCAATGGACTGGATCATTTGATAGTATGGGGGAGTGGGAAATGTACAATTTGTATACACTATGTACAGTCCAGTGTGCACACACGGTCAAGTATAATGCCACAATATGGCGGGGAATTGTTTAGCCTTGGTGGAGGTTTACGCTCTCTGTGTGCTTTCTATTTGAATTTGTGATTTATTTGTTATTGACTTGTGGGGACTTGAATGCTTTCTGGAAACTCAGAAACACTACATATTGTTTTTGTCTTATTCGTTTAATTCTTCTTCACCTGTACTCTTAACCTCCCCTCTCCCCTCTCACCCCAGGAAAAGTTTTACGATGATCAAGATGGTTGTACTGCAGACTGCCATCCTCAAGCCCATTATAACCTTCTTCCAAGCAATGGCCGGTTTTGCCAATGTGGTAAGTTTGCTGTTTAAACACGTCATTACTTTAGGCCAATAGACGCTGAAATTCATCCACAAAGGCGTCTACAACGGAGCACACACCAAGGTGCAGCACCTTCAGCTTTGTACGTACTAGAGCCTGCACAGGATAACGGTGCGTAAGTCCACAACCAACAACAGGTCTAACACCACCTAGGATTACTGCACAGGTGTAGCACTTTAGTCTGATCGTCTTTATACAGGGGCGGATCTTGCTTCAAGAGACGGGAGGGGGTGCTATTTCAGGGAAAGTGTTCCCCTTCTATAGGGGGTCCCAGGCATGCCCTCCCCCCCCCCCCCCATTCTAATGCCCCTCCCCCATTCTAAGATTATTTTAGGATAAATTTCGGAACTTTGAGTCAAATTGTATTTCTTATGACCCAATTTACTAGTATTATAAAAACATTTCAGCGGCTGAGCCAGAGTCCAGACTCGCCAACTATTCTTGTCCTAGCAATAATTTTTGCTGGGGCAAGTTAGAATCCTGGTTGTCACTGGCCCTAAAACAAGCCATTTGGTCATATTTGAACAGGCAGGAACTGAAAACCCAATCCACATGTTGACCAAGGCGGGATTCGATTCCGGGTCACAGCAGTGGAAGGCGAGGAAAGTACCGCTATTCGCCAACCTGACTCCCCGTTTCTGTAGGTTGCACTTATTAAAATGAACTATCAAGAAGCCATAGCTTTTAAGTGGGTCTCTCAAGCAACGAGCTCGTCCAAACAGCATATTTTGTCGCGAGGACCACTCGCAGACATCGGCCGAAGATGACTCGAGGTCGAAGTCGGTATAGGCCCTACAGTCCCTTCACTTACAATCGTCTCTGGACGTCATTCTCTCTCTCAAAAACAGAACCTGCTTGGTATTCCAGACCTGATCTTGGAGACCCTGGCAGTCGTGTCTACCATGACGGCAGTGACGGGAATGAATATGCTCACCAAGTCTTCTAGCAGTAAGGACTTGGAGAAGTACGACCTGCCTGCCAAGGCCAAGTTGATGACGGCCGGGCTGCTCATCATGGGTCTTCAGCCCACCCTCATAGAGTTGGGGACCCTCAGCAGGCCATTGGGCTGTTTCATCCCCTTTCCATCGAGGTTGCTGGCATCCCGTAAGTTCACAGCCAGTTAAAAAATAACCCAAACTGTTTTTACAAGCCCAATATTAATTTTACCTCCGCCAAGGTTGGTTTGTTTGTCTGTTTTTAATACTAGGATAACCCAACAAGTTATAGACGGATTTATTTGTGGGTGGCCCCCTTGGTACAAGAACAAATCGATAAGATTTTGGAAGTGATCTGCCTCTGGATGCAGATTTTTTTCCCCAGGATTTTTCGCCCATCATATGGAAAACTTGTGACCAGCTTCGTGTGCGTGGCACTGAGCCGCTTACCCTGTGTGTCTTATCACCCACCTAATCTAATCACACAGGTCAATGGACTAGACCATTTTATACAATGGGGGAGTGGAAAGGTAGACCAACACAGGCATATGCATGTAAACTACAACATGTTTGTGTTTAAGGATGCGTTTTAGAAAAACCACATTTTGTGCATTGGTGCTGTGTGTAATGGCGGGAAATTGTTTAGCCTTGGCGGAGGTGTGCGCTCTCTGAGGGTCTAGTTACATAATACGATGCATAGAATGAGAAAGTTGTGTTCCTTCGGTGTTAAGAATAAAACCGCATATTTGAGCACATGAGGGCGCTCATGTTCAGGGTCAGATTTGACCCGGCATCCGGGTCATATTTGACCTGACACTTTTCCAGGTCTAAATGACACTTTTTCTCCGTCCGGTTCAAAAATGACATTATTCTGTGTCAATTTTCGGGTCATTTGGACCCGGAAATGTGTTCGTCAAATATGACACGGATTCCGGGTCATCAGCACTTAAGAGTGTGCAGCAACGTCATTATGGGGCTACAAACCTAAGTGGACTAAAGTAAAATCACATGCTATAACTCAGAATTTACAGTCCATATAATTAAAGTCATATAGGATCATTTGCTTTTATCACAAAGTAATTAAGGGGCCATTCAGAATTTTCAATGGTTTAACATTTCGATCTTTTCTTTTTTCCAAATTGGGGGTGGGTGTGTCAAGCTAGATAATTGAAAATCGAAATTCACTTTCCATGGAAAAAAGAAAAAACAAAACAAAGAAAGATAGATCTTTTGACTTGCCTGAACTACGCGCAAGCGTTCCGATATCGTGATGCGTGTTTCTTTTCCAACTTCGTCCCCTGTATGTACTGTACATGTACGTCATGTACGTGTAAATAGACCCACTGTGGCATGAGAGGGAGGTGGTTTTTCAGTAGACTTGGACACCGGGCGTTTGCAGCGGTTAGGCCGTGCAGAGGCAGCAGGGTACCAGGTGTACTAGATCGGCTCTATAACACGCCGCGGGCGTCGGTTACCAATCGCTATAAAAACTGGACTATTCAACCACTGGACTCCAAGACTACGAGGACCGCAGCCTGTGATGTGTTTTGTCTGACCAAAAATGATGTTTTTCTTTCGCTCGTACCCCCCGCCCTGCAAACGGGGGGGGGGGGGGGTACGAGCGAATGTTTTTCTCACCTACCTCACGTGACAGGCACAACCTCGTATGTCACATGTCATCCACCTCATTCAGTAAACGACAAAACCACGGTCATCTTTGTGGCTTCCAAAACTGCAACCTGTCATTCCCAACAGCATATCAGCTGGCAAAACACAAGAAAACTGAATGTCACCAGTGCAAAAGAGGAAGACCGACAACTTCACGCCGTCACTGAACTAGACACACATGTACATGCGTATACATGTTCATGTTCAAGTATATGTACATGCAAGTGCATGTACATGTACATGTTCAGTTTTTTATTAATCGAAATTAGGGGTGGGTGGGTGGGTCAAAATTATTTGGAAAAAAAGTCGAAATTTTAAAACATTGAAAATTCTGGCCCCTAATCTTAATGAATTATCATCAATAAGCATACTTTGATTATAGATTGTACTGGCACTAAACTAAGGGGGAGGGTTCCCTTGAATTTTTTTCGACTGGGTTACTGTCATTTCGAAGAAATCAAGAAATGTTGATGATTTCCAACGATCAGTCATTGACTGATATTTAGTAAAAAAATTTATTACGTGATCAAAAGGTTGTGCATGCATTTTTTTTCACTGTTTTCTCAAAAAGTGTAATATCCACCGAGCTGAATATGCAACAGGTTGAGTTGTAAGGCCCCCAAAAAAGTCTCCGGTTTCTGGTATGCGCGCGCGTCGCCGTAGCCATGCGCGTCTGCAAAATGAAAAAGGTTTTTTTTTTCAAAGAAAGATGAAGTCTCAAAACCGCCAAACCCACTGGTTTGACTGGAATCCTGCTGCTGCACAATTTTAAGAACGTGTTTTTAGTTTGGGTTATGGTCGAGAATAAGCTTTATGTGGCCTCTCTGGACTCCCATATATTTGCACTAAGTTTAGTCGGGCACCATTTGCAGTCATCAGCCGACATTTGAAGCAAAAAAATCAGGTAAAAAAAAAAAAGCCACGTCGCCGCACCACTTTTTGGGCAAGCTCCATACCAGAAACCGGAGACATTTTTTTGGCCTAAACAATCTTCTTTGCATTTTGTGTGGTGTTATTATTGGAAACGAACAAAATGCATTAAAAGAAAAAGCGTTCCTATATGCCTTTAAGGTACCTCGTTCCATTCGCTCGGCCTATCGGTGACGAAAAGCTCTTGAATTGTGCATATACGGAGCAATATGGGAACATGTAGTCCTGACAACTTGAGCATGAAAGGAAATTTTCTCTCAAGTCTTTATAAGCATCCAAAAAGGAGATAATACGAGTAAAAAAACCCTTTTGTTTAATGTCAGTTGAAAAAAGGTTCAGATAATCTTTTGGTGTTTGCCATCTTCATTGTCACTGCGTAGAAGGCCGAGTCATAAAAAAAAAATCTCGTCCGGGCTTTTTGAAGAAAAAAAAGACGGAGGTGGGCGGGTTTTTTCCCTTTGTTTTCCTCAAGATGGCCGATGGATTCTTCCAATTTCTTAACTCTGTTGCTGATACAAAATTGTGTCCAAGGGAGCCCTCACCCTCTCTGCATATAGTTACAATTTCGCTGGAAACAAATACAAAGACAATATATATACAATATATTGCAAAATGTGTGAATCTAAAAAAAAAGGCGGGCGGGTGAAAGGGAGCGCGAGTGGACGAGCGGCCTAAATTTACTGGGACTGAATACAGCTCGAACTAGGAGGATTGATGGTGTCCGAGCTCGAATCCGAGTCTATCTGCAAATTGTACTTCCCTTGCGTTACATATGTGTCAGACACTTGTAAAGGATTTTCTAACTGTTGTGTATTTGAGAAATGGGGTCTCGAAACAAGTCGTCTTAATCAGGGTCAGTTTTCATTGAGCTGGTGATATAAGCGGAATAAGTCAACTGCGAGTAAAATTTGAATAAAATCTGGAACGCTGACTTAATCCATTGCTTTGCACGCGTTAACTTTGCATTCTCTCGACCAAAGACAGCGTTACTAGTGATTTGGGGCAAGCCTTATGCTAGCCACCCCCAGCCGGTGCCTTTGTGCCATTCTCATCTACTATTGTGAACAATGTACTGGCGCTGAGCGTCTCTTACGTAACTATGCAATAGCTTGCCTCGAATCATGTGATTAGCAACAGTGGTTTTGGTCTGGAGAATTCACAGTTAAAATATGCCAAGCATTCTGAGCAAGTCAGTGTACCACACGTTTTTTCAAATTTAAATCCAGCTCAGCAAGTTAACATGCTGAGCAAAAACGGGGGTGGATCTCGCTTTCAGGAAACGGGGGGGGGTGATTTAATTGGAGGAGGGTTGGTGAAGGCGTGTCGAAGGCACGCCCTGTTAAGGGATCCTATACACAGGAAAGGGATCCGTTTTACCCCAAAATGACTCAAAGAATTTAAGCGGATCTTGTTTTTCGTCTGGTTTCTTTCAGAGTGGCAAGCATTCCTGCTCATTCTGGAGTCCACATTGCTTATGATCCCTATCCTGAGGTATTACCGGACAGCTGACGGTAACGTGGTGGGCGTGCCCGCGCCCATCGAAGACGATGAGGAGGAACCGACCACGGGCTTCGGCAAAATGAGACAATGGGTCCGGCGACACACACTGATGTAAAGGCAGACGAGTCAGGATAAATTCTGATGAATCACAAGGAGTCTATAGGTTTAATGATACTTTGTACGCTCTTAAAAGACCAGGGACACCTATGACCCGGATCCGGATCAGATCTGACCTGACACTTTTCCGGGTCAAAATGACACTTCTCTGAGTCACTTTTCCGGGTCATTTTGACATGAAACATTGTCCGACTTCGACCCCAAAAAAGTGTCATTTTTGGCAAGGACAAAACTGTCATTTTGACACGAAAGTGTGTCAAATCATCTCTGACCCTGAATCAGTGTCAAGTTAGACCCAGGATTTTTAAGGGTGTAAACTATTCACCAAGTTGAGAATTCCGTCAAAGTTCAGAATGGGCGTACTGCAGAAAAAGGTAAATGTTTTCTTCTAAATCGAATGAACATTGATACGAATACATAGTTCATTTATTAAAACAGAGTGGCATTGTTGTTTGAAATTTAACATGTAGGATTATAGTACAGTTTAGTTTGCGGATTCACCATGCGAAGTTGTCAACTCTGCAGAAGTGACGTTCTTAGAAAAAGGTAATCTGGTCAGTACTGGAATTTCTAACATAATGTTTCATTCAGAAAACGTCTTCCCAATCATATGAACTTGCAAAAAAAAGGTTATATATTTCTTGGAAGTGTTCACAGAATTCAGTGAAACACCCAAATTCGGTGAGAGTATGTGCATTCATAATAATTTTCACTGGTATGTTACTCCAAACAGTTTTATACTACATAACTTGTTGGTCCAGGATGTTATCATAGTATTTTTTTTCCAGCTTGTATTTGCTGTTTAAAATAGATCGAGGCAATATATATTTGCCAAAGTTGTAATTTTGTACATAAAGAAGATAATTATTTGAACGATATCAATATCATCATGTCGTTTGAAGTAGATAACTGGAACCATTATTATTACATTACAGCAACGACCCACTGTTTTTGTAAAATAGTCCCGAGTTACTTTGTATTTACTTCGGTATTCAATGTCATTTATATTTAAAGGCACATAGGATCATTTGCTTTTGGTGAATTTGTTTTTGGTTTGAAGCAAACAAAATTGTTCCCAATCTTAAGTAGGGTAGGCCGGTGCATACCTATGTTCCCCAATATCTATGTTCCCCGACCCTAACCATCTCTAACCCTAACCCTAACCCTAAGGTTTTTGGGAAACATAGGTATTGGGGAACAAAGATATTGGGGAACATCGGGTAGACTCCGGGTAGGCCTACATAATAACTGATCTGTTGAATTTTCAGCTCAGTGATTACTATACGTGTTTTGTGTTTTTTTGTAGAAAAGAGAGAAAACGGACTCATTAGGGTTTCTTGAAACCATGTTAGATAACATTCCAGGCGAAATGGTTTCTCATTTTCACTTTCAGCGAGGTTTCTGTCATTATATCGGTAGTTATACTTTTCCGGGTACTTTCAAAATAATGATCCTATGTGGCTTTACTATATACAACATCCACAGTATTATGTTTTGTTTTTGCTAGTCCAATATTCCATTTCTGCAATGTGTAAATAGAAAATAAACTATGTATGCGGAAAAATATATAGGCAGATATTAAGGACGAGATATCAAGTGGAGATGATTTGAAGAGTTGTGCTCAAGTGGGTATTGACGGGGGTACAGTTGGAGATTCAACCCCCTCCAAAAAATGAAATGCTTCAAACGATGGGAGAAAAAAAGGGACGCAATAGTATTAGGCCAAAAAAAAATATTCGGTCTCTGGTCAGACCAAAGTTCCGGAATTGATGCGGCGACGCGTTTTTTTTAATTTTTAACCCTTTTTTTTCAAGCTTTGATTGTACAGACAAGGTGGGTACTATTTTGCTTTTGTTGTGTCCTCATATACATTGGGGTCCTCCATAATTTGCCTTGGTGGCCTCCATCATTTGCCTTGGTGCAATTTCCCCATTCCTTGGTACAAAACTTTGAGGAGGTGCGGCAATAGAGGGCGCTGCTGTAGCTACCGCGGACAATTTGAAGACAAAAAAAGGTTGACGCGCATGATTAAAATCGACGCGCGCGCTGACCAGAGACAGACTAACTTTTTTGTTGGCCTTACTTTCAAATCCAATTGCATACATGGTGGTGCAAAAAAGAGGGAACCCACTGTTTACAGCATTTTTCACCTACTTGTTGCGCACATTTTAAAAATTCAATGTAATGGTATTAAAATATTGATTTTTAAACATAAGTGACGAAAACAATAATTGCAAGTCCATATTTTGTCTCTGTCTCTGAGATATGGTAGTTTAAAGTTTTCATGTACTAAACCTGTTTGTCCACGGACGGCTTTATTCCATCCGCTTGACTAAGCTCCGGTACTACACTGGACTTACACGGGGAAAACAGTGATTTTGGTGGGATTTTGTATTCAAATGTGCATACCAACACTATTCTTGCGATGTTTTAAAAGATTTTTTTCACCATGTATGGTTGAAAAGCTAAACTTAACTCCATTAAAAAAAAGTCACATAGAAATTTAAATTCATGTCAAAATTGAGTTTCCTTCTTTTTGCACCACCCTGTATAAAATTACCATGCACTAGAACTGCCGGTGTGAGATGACTAAACAGATTTCTACTATCGCCATCGCCTTGTACTATCAGCACGGCCATGCTACTGAAAAAATTGTCATTCTTTATTTTTATTGTTATTATTATTATTTTTTGCGGGGGGGGGGGTGTTTTTCTGAAACTTTGGCCTTTAATGATTCAACGCACTTTGATACCGCTCTCTGAGTGCATTGTAAATATCAGTATTCGTTACGATCACCATTAACCCAATTTGTGCTGTCGGGTAAAAACGGAGTCTCTTTACAATATTTAGTTTTCCTACTATGATTATGAATAAATACCAACAAATGCATTGAACCTACTGTTCTTTTATTGCAGTCCTTTGATTAGGAATATTTTTTGCGCTGATAATGTTCCTGTTGTTGACATGAAAATTAAAAACGTGATACTACTAGAGAGATTTCAGTGTCGTTTTTCTTTTAAAAACTTTTTTCGGGGGGTGGGGGCTCTATATAACGCCCCAGATTTGACTCGGATTCCGGGTCATATTTTACCGGATACGTTTAGTGTCATAATGACATTGCTCTGGGTAATTTTCGGGGTCATTTTGACCCGGAAACGTTGGCAAAAGTGTCATTTTGATTCGAAAAAATGTAATTTGACCCGGACAAAATATTAGATTCAATATGGCTCGGATTTTGGATCAAATCAGACCGACGTAAACCTTTAGAAAAAGAAGCTGTTAAGGGACCAAAGTGGAAGCCCTTTCTGTTTAATTTGTTTTAATAATGCTCGGGAGAGAGTCGTTCGTGCAAACTGTAAAACAAATGAGAAGTTAGGACAATGTTCAATGCGGACAGAATTGCTTTATCGGACATTATTTTGTTTCGGAATGAAAATGGAATCCGGTGCCGAACTCAGACGTAGATCCTTATAAGGCGTTGCCTGCATCGCATTTACCAGTCAGAATGCATCACGCGTGTTATTTCATCATTTCTTGACTCATCCCAAGTTTGAAAAAAAAAACCAACTCTCAACGTCAAATGCTAAAAGTGACAAAAAGCACAAGGACAAAATTTCCTCGCAAAACTCCCTCTTAGGTTGATTAAGAAAACAATGATGGCGCCCTCTAAAAATAATAACAGTTTACGAAAGTCACCCTCAATAATATTGTCCCGTGTCTCGGAACTTTTTTTCTTGTCTGTTCGTATCTTGAACCCCCCCGACGCTAAACTGTGTCGCACGTACGTCAACGTCAACAATACCCAGTAAATTTGATTGTAAATACGTTTATGGGCGAGATTAAATTTACCGAATCTGGACCGACATCGCAATGCACCAAAGGTAATCCGTATAAAAATAGAGCATCTTTGCTGGAAAAAAAAAACAAGAAAACTTACTTTTTAAAGGAAAATTGGACCACCAGGGGTCGTACACTTTTGACCTGCTACTAATTTGTCAATATCAATGTGCGTAAGTGTTACAAAGGTTGTGCTTGTTCGGTGATAAAACTTGATATGTCAAATCTATTAAATTGCATTTTTTCATTCTGCGCACGAGATGCAGATTGACAGATAAGGAAGTGCCGTCGAATGCATGACCGCGGTTTAAGGTCTTCATTAATATGCGATTGACTTTTGTCCCGTGTTTGAGAACTGGAACTGGGGTGCGGGCTGGCCGGCCAGTTTGAAGATCCCAAGCTGCATCAAACTTTCCTTCAGCTTTAGGAATCACAAAACCCCGAAGAACAAAAATGATCTGTTTCGTAAGTGGGCCTCGGTGAAGAACAGCAAGAGTAATTTGGAAGGGAGAACAATTCTCTCGTCGAGAAACTGTCGAGCTGTTTACTTCGAGATGGGGGCTATGCTGGGTATCAACATCGAAGACTGCACTCAGAATGGAACTATTGACTTCACTCAGGGATCTCTCACTGCTGGTAAGGACGCTCCACCTTTAAATGGAATATCGCTTGAGGGGAGGTCGATAATTATGTGTTTGTGTCAAAGGAAAGAGGATTCCGTTCCCTTCTGCATTGGCATTTCATCATACTCAGTTTAACCCACAAAGAATGACGAGTTTATCTATATGATACTTCGTGTATATGGAATTTTATACTACACAGCGACATTTAGGACGGCTTTTGCTTTCCTTGGATTAATGATGGTTCAGGGAGCGAGCGTGGTTTTTTTCTGGAGTTCTGTGTTCTGATTATCATAACCTGCGACTTTGCAATCGGACAAGCAAGGTTCAAAATACTTGGGATACACAAAATAAACTAGCAGCTGCATTTAACTGGTTCCGTTCGATGATGAAGATATTCTGTTATTATTTTCTTTTCGTTGACAGAGCTGGCCAAGTACCCACTCTTCACGCTGCTGTTTTCCTACGCCTCCTTGGCGAGTTTTACCGTCATTGTCATATTCTTCGAAGCCGCGTTCTTCACGGCAACGCGGGTTCCTCGATCAGCCGTGGCTAACCATCGAATCAACACTGTCGTCATGATGTCCGCCTTTCCTGTAAGCTCGGTTCTTTGTTGGGGTCGATGTTATCATTGTCGTACATGGGTGTTGCTGCTACTGCCGCCACCATGGCTGCTGTTGCTGTTGTTGATGCTCACGCGCATGTAGTTGCTGTTGCTGTTGGTGCTGCTGCTGTTGCTGTTGCTGGTGCTGCTGGTGTTGCTGTTGATGCTGCTGCTGCTGTTGGTGTTGCTGTAGGTGCTTCTGCTGATGCTGCTAGTGATGGTGCTGCTGCTGCTGGTAGTGGTGGTGCTGCTGCTGGTGGTGGTGCCTCTTCTGTTGGTGCTGCTACTGGTGCTTCTGGTGGTGCTGCTACTACTGGTGGTAGTGGTGCTGCTGCTGGGGGTGCTGCTGCTGGTGGTGGTGGTGGTGGTGGCGGTGGTGGTGGTGCTGCTGCTGCTGCTGCTTCTAGCTGCTTGTATCTGCAGTTGCTGCTGCTAGCTGCCTGTTTCTGCAATCGCTGCTGCGGTTGCTGATTTCCTCGCTGGTGCTGCTGTGGTGCTGCAGTGGTTGCAACAGTTGCTAATGTTGCTACTGCTATACTGCTAAATGCTGCTGCTGTTGCTGATACTGCTACCACCCACTGTTGATGCTGGCTGCTCTACTGATGCAGCTAGCTACTGCAGCTGCTAATACTAATGCTCTGCCGTTGCTGCTTCGGCTGTGCCAGCAGTTTTGCCCTCGTCGAGGATCGCTCGTTTCTGTCGTTTTTCTGTTATGAACATGATATAACACCAGTTTAAATTTCATGTGCTGGTGAACAACATTTCATCATTTACTTCTTTCGTTGCTTGTACTTTATATTTTACTCCACTTTTTTTCTCTCTGTTGTAGGTGTTTGTGGTGTGCTGCCTCCCAGCTCTTTTAATACCAAGTTCGGCGGCATTCTGTCTGGCTTTGGTTGACTTGTAAGTGTTTTGCCCCCAAATCAGTATAGTCTGATGTCACACAAAACGAAAAAAATATAATTTACAAATTTTTTTCAGAGAGACCATGCCTGTCCGACCAATGTGACTCGAAATGCAACATATTAAAAATATTCGGAACAAAATAAAGATATCTTTTATAGCGGTACGACAGGAGTTTTTCTTCCCCTGACAAAAGGTTTGTTGGAATCTTCGGAGGCATGACGTCCCAGCAACTGTTTTGCTGCCGTTTGCTGTTATCTCTCTCTAATTCTGAATTTCTTATCTAAAAGAGATTTGCAGTCTTATACAACCGTGTGTGATGTTGTAATATTTATAGCTTTTTGCAACAAAAGTTCAAAGAGCAATTAGATTGGAACGAAGCTGTGATACATGCCGCCAGAGTTTGAAACAAAATTGCTTTAAGTTGAAAGGAATATGAGCCTGGACATAATGCTTCCACAATCTCAGTGGATTATCGAAGCTAACGAAACAAAACGAAGGGGCCGAAGTTCAGCAAAAGTTCATCAAACTTGGGGTTTTTTTTGTTATTTATTTTTTATTTCAGGAGATAAATTGAATCATTGCGTATATTCCTCGCAAGCCATCAGCGATTCACACAGTGGCGTTCACTCGGCCGTGGAAATTCGAAAAGCGGAGGGGGAGGGGGAGGGGAGGGGCTGGACATCACTTTACACTAGGGGGCGCTGTGATGATACAGACGTACATCTTATGTTAACTGGCGCGATTGCACGCCTTCACCTTACATCAAAACGGCGCATTTTAAGTTGTGCTAGTTGTACTTTTTTTCTTAGTTGTTTAGTGCTATTGAGTACATTTTGGTTGTTGGGAAGTTTAAAAAATACCTCGAAATCCGCATTTTTTGTTTCTCACCACGAAAAAGTGGGGGTTGGTTGGGGGGGGGGTAATCCAATGACCCATACCCCTGGTCACAAAGTGTGGGGGATAATATTATATACTCCCATCTCCCCGGGATTTACGCCTCTGCCTACTCATACCTTGTAGTTCTAATATTACAATGTGGAAATAGCGCACGTTATTCTATACTTGTATTAATCTCCTTCCCCTTTTTGAATAAATTGGTTCTGGATCAATCCTTGATCATTTTTATAATTGAAATTGAAGACATTTTTTAATATTTCAGTTTCATCTTAATGACTACATAATTTAGGTTAGAAAATTTGCCGCCATTTTTAATTCAAGATTTTTTAGGAATGTCTTTGGAAATCATTGACTTGGGTTCAAGAGTCTAATGGAGTTATGGTCACACCCATAGTCCTTTGCGTTTACTCCAAAAAATCGTGATGATAAGTCTCATTTTGGTACCTATATATATGTTCTCTTCCAAGGTACTATGCCTTCGTCATGTTCAAGTTCGTCGTGTTACAAGTCGACTACTACGGAGGACATCGGAAAATGATGGCGAGGCTGGCTGCAAATAAAGTCATGTTTAACATTAATGTTCCGTTGCTCTGCTGCTTCTGCTGTCTCAAACCAGTTCGCCTTACACGGTATGTTTATTTGCGTCCCATCCATAGAATGAATTGTGTATTGCGCATTGGCGGAGGGATGTGAACCTTATTTACATTTCTATATACAGGGTGAATAAAAGAAAGGTATTCTAAAAAAAAAAAAAAGAGTTAAGGCCAAAAAAAAATAAGTCGGTCTCTGGTCAGCGCGCGCGTCGATTTTAATCATGCGCGTCGATTTTTTTTTTTTTTTCCAAAATGTTTCGCGGTAGCTCCTACAGCGCCCTCTATTTCCGCACCTCCTCAATTTTTTTTACCAAAGAGCACCAAGGAATGGGAAATTACACCAAGGCAAATGATCGAAAGCACCAAGGCAAATTATGGAGGACACCAATGTACATGAGGACACAAAAAAAGCAAAATAGTACCTACCTTGTCTGTACAATCCAAGCTTGGAAAAAAAAGCCGCGTGGCCGCGTCAATTCCGGAACTTTGGTCTGACCAGAGACCGAATTTTTTTTTTCGCCTAATAAAAATATGTAAAGGTTTGACTTGAAAAATATCAGCCTGGCTCCATAATAAAGCGTACTTCATTGGCCGTTCGTTGATATCTTATTTACATCTCTTTAGTCACGGATGACCGAGTACAATTGATCTCCACACAAGGGCAAAAAAATCCCTCTTTTTCCAAGGTCAAATTTACTGAACGAGTTAAGCTGTCCTAAGAATGCGCTGTCGCAAAGTGCGTTAAAAGGGTATGTTAGAGATGTTGTTGGTGAATATGGTACATCATGTTGTCCATAATTAATTAATCATTTCAAAGATTTTGCTTTTCATCGTAAAACAAACAATCCAAAAATCTTTCTTACATCGCTTGCAATGGGCACATCCAAATCCATGCCAAGTTGGGCAAACGCCCAAGCTATGTTTTGAGCACAATTTTGCATAAGGTAGTTATTATTTTAATGAATAAAAAAAAAATCTTTGAAATGAGTGATTTAATCATTAAACATTAGGCTCAAAACACTTTTAACATGTTTTTCTCCACCATTCAACGCATAATCCACAGCGACTGCGCAAATTTTTGTTTGACAGCTCAATTCACCACTTAATCAGACAACTTGAAAAAGTAGGTGCTTGGCCTTCTGGTGATGAACCGAATATCTAGAATGATCAATCTTTCATGCACAAATTATCATGAACCATTTTATGCACCAACATCTCTAACATAACCATTTTAGCGCACTATGTACATCAACAGCGCGTTCAGCTGACAGTCATCCGTGACTGAAGAGATGCAAATCAGGTATCAATGATAAGCTAATGAACTACCCTTTAAGAAGGAGCTATTTTGATATTTTTCAAGTTCATAACTTTTACATATTATCCCATTGTTTTTGGATTACCTTTTTTTCTTTGATACACCCTGTACATGTAGATTTACTTCCTAAAAGGGCTGGGGTATTTTGTTGATTTTGGAGACCCAGACTTAAAGTCGTGTAAGATCATTTCCATTGTTTCCCGAAAATAATCCACCGAATTATTGTCAATGATCTAACTTGGATTAAAAATTGTACTGGTACTAAACGCCCCGTGAAATTATTCCGTCTGGTTTGCTGTCATGTTGCAGGTAACAGAAAATTATTTTAGGTGATTTCCAACAATCAGTTGGTTGACAGTTTTTTTTTTTTAATAAAGAGTGTTATATAGGCCCTATACGAGATCAAAAGATTGCGCATGGTTTTTCACAGTTTTCCCGAACATTTAATACCTACTATGGGCCTTATTCACGAGTTGGCCATTTTTGTCGACTTCCCTGAATGTATTTCATTAATGTTAACTGTTGAATGGGATGGCACCAAACTATTTATGCAGGCACAGTGCAGCCTTATTTTACTGTCATTAGGTGTTTTTTTAATATGGCTTTAAACATTAGGGAATGTTTAATTACAAATTATAAAATTATATATTGAAACAGACTGGAATTTAGTTTAAATAAGGTTGCTTTCATTAATTTCTCTTCGCAAGTTCAAAAAATTAAGATTGTATCTAACTTTCAATTCAATATGGCCGACTCGTGAATAAGGCCCATATGCTGAAACTTCAACACTTCTTTGGATGTTGAGTGGTGTCACTATTGAAAACAACCAAAGTGCATGAAAAGGAAGTGATCCTGTATGCGTTTAAGGGAATGCGAGGTTTTGTTCGTACTTTCAGGATATTTTATCGTCTCTATTTTGATTGGTTCTCCGTTGTAGGTTATGTACCCGACGGAAAGTGTGTGAAGGAAGGGGTGGGGAAAGGACTTGTTCAACTAGGCCTGAATACATTTTAAAATTTGTTCATTTACTGTTCCTACCGATAACAGACTCGGGTTATCAATCTGCAGCTCATGGGTGACATGCGTTATTTTAACCTTTCTTTCTTCTTCCATAATCTGCAGATGGAGCTTTATAGTCATCAAGATTCTAGTGCTTCAAGTTGCAATCATCAGGCCAGTGGTGACATTCTTTATGGCAATTGCCAGTTTCGCAAAACTGGTGAGTACTTTTTTTTGGGGGGGGGAGGGGGGAATCATACGCAAAGAAGTACCAGTAAACTGCATTACCAAAGAATGTGTCAGAATATACGTGCGCAAAGTGTCCGTTGTGAACATCATCAACACATAAACGGGAAATGGAACCGCTTGGCTAAATCAAAGGCCATGATCAATGGTAAAGAAAAGCTGTATGCTTCAGAACTTCATGATAATGAACTTCTTCTTATCAGACAGAGAGACAGAGTCAAAATCTGAGTAACTCTTAAGGGCTCCGCCACAGGGGTGCAGGAGAAGAAGGGCGGTACACCCGACTCCCCCACCCTCGCTTAGTCGGTCTTAACGGCAAAATTAAGAGAAAAACAAAATCTGTAGAAAAACCTCCTATTTCCCGGTTAAATGTCTGTGGCTAGAATATTTACGGATTTTTTCTCCGATTGACTGTGGCCATGCACACGATTCTTTCTAAGTCACTGATCCCTTGTGGTCAGTGACTCATTGGGGTATGGGGGTTCACATATTCTTTACCTGCTGCAACGAAGAGCGCCACCTAACACGCCAATGGTGTCCAATACAGTCTGTTTTGAATAGCGCCTCCAATAGTCAAATGGTTTCCAGTAGCCCCCTCCCCCTCCCCCAGTCTTTGAGGCTGATCCCAGTTTAAATCAAGAGGAGGTTTAACTGCCAAAAAGGAGGGGGCATGGGCGTCGCCGGGATTTTTCCTAGAGGGGGGGCAAAACATATTTTTACCCAAAAAATTCTGTATTTCTCAACATTTTCTCGAAATATCAGTTTTAGAGGGGGGCAGAGATATTTTGCCTCCCCCAACCCATTACACCACTATTTACACCACTATGACTTCACGCCTTTTTTTTCTCTCTCTCTCTCTTTTTTCCTTCCTTTTTTTTTTGGGGGGGGGGGGGCTTTTCCGGGGGGCAAGCGCCCCCCCTTCCCCCCTCGCGGCGCCGTTATGAGGGGGGGGGGGGAGAGCAGGAATCTACCGTGATTTTGTGCATGATTGTCTTATTGTTGCGGCCGTGAGGGGGTTTAGGACCCCCTCCTCTCCCCCCCCCCCCTTCCCCCCCCCCTTCCCCCCCCCCCCCCATACCCGCCACTGTCTGACTCTTCTGTGCATCTTGCTATGAAGTCTAACATGTAGCCTGGTTGGTAAAGTGATCGCACAAACTAATTATTCATGCGCTTGAAGATTTTTTTTATATGGGTCGACCCCGCATACGAAGCAGTCATAGGGGCAACAATGCGCTGACCGTTACACAGGTTACGCAGGCTGCGCACGGGCAAAAACTGTCATCTCGCACTCCACTCACTAGACTGAGTTCACCCGAAGAAACTACAGCCCCTCCTTAAGACGATCTGCCAATTCCATCCCAATCAAGGAAAGCACACCGCACAAAATGCCATTTTATGATTTTTTTTTTTATTCCAATAAGATCACTAAAAGCAAAAAAAAAAGCAGATGATTCTAAAGACATCCCGCATTTTAGGCAATACATGTACATGTAAGCCGTGATTACATATAGTCTAGGTTACAAAATCCAAAGATTATTTCCCAAGAAAAAATCAATGGTCGATTGAGTATACATTGTAATATTATGAGTAACAAAATAACGTATTTTTTTTTAAATATATATTTTTCACATACTTAATTTATTCAGCTGAAATTACGAGGGCAGCATCCTAACCTCGTTCCCAGGGTGTCGAGCAGAACGCTCCCACCTCTACCTGATCTCTCAACTTGGGATTGGATCATTTGCATAACTAAAATGTATCGTATGCAAATGAGGAATAGTCTGGTGCCTGCCTGTGCTTTACATCAGCGTTTGTTTTGTGTATGTGGTGTTTGGGATAAAAACAGAATAAATTCGTGACAGCATGAGTTTATACTAAAACACGATTTTTTTTCTTTCAAAGTTAAAATGTTACAATCTTATCCAGGCAATCCAGCCAATATGGAGTATCACATTTCATATTAATATGAACAAATTTGAAAGGTCGGAATATTTTTATCAAGGTGTGGACGTAATAATTACAATGAATGTGAAAATACGTAAACACGTTGGAAATAACAACACCAAGTACACGATTGCGCTATCGAATCAGAATACAAGAAGCAAGTTCCCATCCCAGGGAAACGAGGTTGAAATTTAAGTAAGCCTTGGGGACGAGGTTGGCAGCACCCATATCCATTTCGATGAGTAACAGTTTGAAATTATGGAACTATACGAACATAATTATACCCATCCTATATATCAATTGTCTTGCACTCTATGGGAGACAAAACCACTAAGTGGTTGTATTTTGTTCAGTTAAAAGTACCGACTTCTCTGACGACTTTGCAAAGAGAAATCAGAGGATTTTCCAATACAGTACGGGCCTTATTGTTGATTCTCTCATCAAATTTCTGCTACCATTCGCAAAGTGATAAAACGGCGCGTTGTACACCAGAATAGCCCCCGCCAGGTGGTCGTTGATCGCTTGTCATTCGCCCCAATGCACGGCGCGGCTGCACCGCAAAAATAGAAGATCCATTTCACGGTAAATAGAGGTTCCATTGCATGGTCACACTTATTGGTTGCACTATACAGGGAGAGTTAAAAAAAACCAAAAAAACCGAAACCCAAATGGCAGGACCAACTTTTGAATGAAATTTTGCCTGTATCACTTTCAAAATCTAGGATATGAAAGCCCAGTCATTAAACTTTCTTTTAGTGCAAGAATCATTCAAATCACTCATGTACTTTTCAAGTTTTTGAACACAAACACCGTTTTAAAGTTCTGTCCACGGATCACAAAAAACAAGTAAGTGTTCTTTCAGTAAAACGAAAACAATTTTCATAGGGATGCATGTGAATTGTTTTCGTTTTGCTGAAAGAACACTTAGTTTTTTTTGTGATCCGTTGACAGAACTTTAACACGGTGTTTGTGTACAAAATTCCGTAACTTAAAAAAGTACACGATCATTAATTGGGCTTTCATATCCTAGATTTTGAAAGTGCTACAGGCAAAACTTCATTCAAAACTTGGTTTTGCCATTTGGGTTTCGTTTTTTTTTACTCACCCTGTGTATTGAGCACACCTCGGATGGCTCTGAAGCTGTACATTTATAATATCAGTTCACACGTTGCCAATCAGATGACGAGGAATTATTCAGGTGGTGTATAAACAAATAATGAATGCTTCGCACGTTCATGCAATGGAAAGAATAACTCCATTCGGTGACATGGAATGTTCCATTACATCCATCTGTCACCTCGTGAAATTATTCTTACTACTGCACTCGTAAACATTCATTATGTGTATAATATTAATATCTCCATCCAATCACTATAATTAAGGTAGGAGAAATGCAATCGATATAATAGGCACGATGATTGTTATCACTAGGGAGAAAACTGTCTCAAGAAACAGAACCATGCTATGTTACACTTTTCCCGTTTACCAGCACATTATTCACAAAATACGCTTGAATTATGAAGAATTGTGTTTGTAAAAACCAACATTTTTGCTAGATTATAGGCCTCTCATATAACGAGGTTTATCGATTTTGAACCATTTTGTCGTTTATACCTTTAATATAGGTTTTTCCGGCTATTTTAAAAGATTTTTCATTCAAATTCAACAACTCTATCATTCAATTTCATCCACGCAAAATTTCACACGCTTTTAACAAAACCAATTTAGTCATTTACCATTCAATTTCAAAGTTTGGTCACCCTCTTTAGTCAGCGGGTGGAGAGTATTCGCCGTTACAGATCAAATTCGTTTGAGCTGTTGCCGAATGGTTTGTCAGTTTATCATTATTATTGTTTTTTCGTTAAATATTGTCCAGTCAGTTGGTAACTGTAATTCCGGTCGTCGAACCATTTCAACTTTATCAGTTTCCGCTCTTTTTGAACCATCATGATCGCCAATGGAAGATTTCACTTTGTTCCTAATGCTGACGAGAGCGTGTTTATACACATTAAAAATGATAATCGTACATTTATGCCTACATAGCATTGACCTCTCTCTAGGGCCAGGCTGTTTGGGATCCATTACACATCCTAAGTAAAAATATATATGGAGATTATAAAAGTAAACAAAAGTATAAAAAAAAGTATAAATGAGAATACTGTGTACTAATGCTAAAGAAAAAATATTAACAAGCAAGTTTAAAACTGGAAAACATACACATAAACTTCACATGTGAATGGGAAGGTTTTCCTGGCTATTTTAAAAGATGCTTCATTCAAATTCAACAAATCTATCATTCAATTTCATCCACGAAACATTTCACACGCTTTTAACTTTTAAAGTTTGGTCACCCTCTTTAGTCACCGGTCGAGAATATTCGTCATTACAGATCAAATTCGTCTAAGCTGTTGCCGAATGGCAGCATTCGGAGATCGAATTCGTCTTATGTAAATCAATGAGACGAATTTGATTTCTGAACAGCAAGGTTTGGCGTAGACGAGACGAAATCGAATAATCCGGGACGAAACCGTGTGCTCATTGTTTGAATTTGCTTAAACTGAATTTGAAATTGACTGACAAAAGACGAAATTGAACATTGGAAGTGCACTACATCGAAGTTGATGGACAAATTTGAATATTAGAAACGGTGAATTCGAATGATAAAAGTTTTAAAATAACCGGGAAAACCTATATTTTTTTTTTTTTTTTTTATATTGTCCAGTCAGTTGGCAACGGTAATTCTGGTCGTCGAACCATTTTAACTTTATCAGTTTCTACTCATTTTGAGCCATAATGATCGCCAATGAGAGATTCCACTTTGTTCCTACTGCTGACGAGAGCGTGCTTATACATATTTAAAATGATATCGTACATTTACATAGCATTGACCTATCTCTAGGGCCAGCCAGTTCAAGATCCATTATATCACATCATAAGTAAAAATATATATGGTGACTATAAAAGTAGACAAAAGTATAAATGATAAGAATGAGTACTAATGCTAATGAAAAATTATTAACAAGCAAGTTTCAAATTGGAAAACATACACAAAAACTTCACTTGTGAATGTATTTTAGCTGAGATTTATGAAACTTCTGAAGTAGGCCTCCGCGAATACAAACGCTTCAAAATGAAACTGTTATAGTATTTTGTGTCACCAAAACGAAGCACATCCACATTTTCCATATCCAGACCATTCTTTCTGAACAATAAACCGTGTCTTTAATGTTATTTTTTAAAAGTGCACTCTAAAACATCCCGGGTCGGATTTAACCCAGAATCCAGGTCATTTTGACCAGGCAATTTTCTGGGACAAAATGACACTTTTCCGGGTCAAAATTACACTATTCTGGGTCATTTTGCAGGTCATTGCGACCGAAAAAGTATCATTTCGACTCGGGGAAAGTGTCATTTCGACTCGAAAAAGTGTAATTTAGACTCGAAAAGTGTCATTTTGACCAGGAATAGTGTCATTTCGACTCGGAAAAGGGCCTAGTATCAGGTCAAGTATGACCCGGATTGCGGGTCAAATGACTCTGTAGTGTGTATTACTGTAAATTATTAATGCCTGCATGTCTGCTTTTACAAGAGCGAACAGAAAGATGTGAGAGAATCGTTTTTACAAGTGCCTGAACCACTTCTGAGGACGCTGAACCAGGAAGATGCATCCAAGGCTGCACGTTTCGCCAGTCATCAACCTCGTATATCCCGACATATTTATTTCTTACCTTTGACGTTCTGATAGTGTTTTTCGTCCGGGGTAGGACCTGATGTTTTCCCGGTGTTCTCGTTCGACACGACATCGGTATACTCAGCTTCCTCGGTTTCCGAGACCGACTGGTCGAAGGTTGCAGAACCTGGTGTTTTCCCGACGGTCTCGTTCGACACGACATCGGTATACTCAGCTTCCTCGGTTTCCGAGACCGACTGGTCAAAGGTTGCAGAACCTGGTGTTTTCCCGACGGTCTCGTTCGACACGACATCGGTATACTCAGCTTCCTCGGTTTCCGAGACCGACTGGTCGACGGTTGCAGGACCTGATGTTTTCCCGATGGTCTCGTCCGACGCGACATAAGTATACTCAGCTCCCTCGGTTTCCGAGACCGACTGGTTGACGGTTGCAAGACCTGATTTTTTCCCGGTGGTCTCGTCCGAAGCGACATCAGTATACTCAGCTCCCTTGGTTTTCGAGACCGACTGGTCGACGGTTGCAGGACCTGATTTTTTCCCGATGTTCTCGTCCGAAGCGACATAAGTATACTTAGCTCCCTCGGTTTTCGAGACCGACTGGTCGACGGTTGCATGACCTGATATTTTCTCGATGTTCTCGTCCGACGCGACATAGGTATACTCAGGTTCCTTGGTTTCCAAGACTGTCTGATACACGGCTTCGCCTGTGGCTTCTTCATTAGTTGGTACTAGATAAGCGTTGGTGTCTTTCCCGCCCGGTTCCAGCTCGACGTCTGGTACTTGCGGATGGGATGTCTTGGACCTTCTGTGCCGCCAGCACCTGGTGATAAAGACGGCATTGATGGGTACCGAGACGGCAAGGAGGATGAGGAGGACCACACTGACAACGATCCAAGCCACGGGAGCTGCGTCGGTTTGGGAATCCGGAGTCGTTTGGAACACCCCGTTAGTCGGTCCAGACTCCGCGGTAGTAGGTGCATCAGGTTGAGTTGGTACTTTGGGATTCTCCGTCCTCGCGTTATTATTAGTCGGTCCAGGCTCCGCAGTAGGTGCGTCAGGATAGGACGATACTCCAGGAGTCTCCATCCTCAGCACATGGAGCGGTCCGATCGAGCAGGAACTCGCCCTCCCGGGAAATGCTGACGCAGAAGTCACGTTAAACGTGAAAGTGGCGTCCTGGTGGTCGGCACTCACCGACAGCTGTGACGAGAGCACGAGTTCAATCTCATCCCCCGTTATTTCACTCCATGTAACGCCGACGGTTGATTGGATGATTTCTACCCATACTAGTGGATAACCGGGCTCTGTCGTGCAATTCATCAAGAGTGTCGCCCCTTCCGGGACGGTGAAGCTTCCGCTAGGGGCGCAGATCGGGTACAGATCTGATGGAAAATAGCGCACCGTCAAAATAGGATAGGGCGCTGACACCTGATTGCCATTCTGGCTGACCCTACACTCAAAAAGCCTGTCATCTCTTGTAACGTTTCTGACGATGAGGATCGCAGTTGTCGTTGCCGGTGGGTCGCCAATTATGAATGCGAAATATCGGGCGTTCAAAACAATACCGTTCGTCGTTACAGGTTCCCAAGTAGTTCCCATTACATGTCTGTGCCAATCAAACGTGTAAGCATAGCTTTCCAGTAGTCCGGACGCGTTGCACGCGAGGGTCACGGTGTCGCCCTCCGTTGGCTCTGCATCGGCTGGCTGACTTATCGCAGTGGTTACTACAGGGGAGTCAAAAAAAAAGTGACCGAGTGAAAAAAAGTGTTAAAAAAATATGTGGCTCGCTCCATTTATTTAAAAAATGAATAGTACGTTATTCACCATTAACTGTGAACATTTCACGTAATTTGTGTGCTCTACATACACGACGTATTTCTATTTTAATAGAAATGCCATAACATTTGGCTGCCCACCTCAAGATTATTTACCAAAACGCATTATTTAATGGACACCCTTTAAATAAAATAAACGAAAAACCTGAAAAGGAAAACAGACCAAAATCACCATTCTCATTTCAGAACAAAAGACATGATTTGTTCACCGTGAAATATGACAGTTGAAATAATGTATCTCATTTGAATTTAAATGCCTGCATGTAATTTCTGGTTCTCACTACAGGCTGTAAAATTGATTAAGTTAGTAAAACATGCAACATTTTTGATAGTTCCAAAGCAAGGATCAATATTATAGGGTGCTTTTTTCAGATGAAAGAAAGAACATGCTCGTTTCATACGTGCTTCATTGATGTATCAAATATAATTACTTTATAAGGAAAGGTTCATTAAACCCAGTCTGTTTCTTTTTGACTCACCCTGAATCGGAGGCAGTAAAGCACTAACTCTGTGGGAATACCAACACAGTAGCAGGCACACCAATGTCAGATCCATGGTCGATCGAAGCACTAAATAAACTGGTCTGACGAAAGAACAATTTATTAGACACTGCAGTTTTCAGACTTCAGAGGTTTGAGCCTGTGTTACGACCCGTAATGTTATACTTGACCACTACTTTCACCGACCCGATATATAGCGTATTCTGCACCGCGTACGTTGTGGGAAAGGAATGTATATACCTGGTGGGATATATATGCGTTTGTGCCTCGTGCTGGATCGGTTCCACTTCGTGTCAAATAAATAAATTTCGTTTTCACTTCAGTCGTGTGTTGTTGGTATCCGGATTCCATCCTTTTGATTGTCAGTTGCGCACCGGCGATTTTGTAAAGGACACCACAATTCCCCCGGGCCATTCCACAAAAGTGGTGATAGAGAGTATTGTAAGAACGACTTTGGGGAGAATTTGGGGAAGCCACGGGATGATTTTCAATCATAGTGGATACTTCTAAAACCACAATAGGTTCTTATCTAACAGTCCTGGCTCTAATAGGATGTTGCTTTTCGCAAAGCAAGGGTTGGATCTCCTTTCTCCAATTGTTCTTAAGGGAGCAAGCCCTTGAATTTGAATGTTTTACCCTTTGTATACTTCCAACTTTTTTTATTAATATTTACATGCAAAGAAAAACAAAAACGAACAAATTGAGTGACAAGCAAAACGTTTTCAGTCTATACTCAGTTGTTACCGTCACAATAAGCCTCTGTACTAATGACTTCACACTTTGTTAACGTGTGTGCTTTCCTATGATGCTCAGTGGACCGTGGGTCCCCACTGGATCCATAGGAAAGTGCACATGTAAACAAAGTGTGACGTCATTAGTACAGAGGATATATATTGCTTCCTGTGCGTGCATTTAAACCCCAACAACAAGGTTCGGGGTCAAAATACTGACCGTGTTTAATGACCAAAATATTCATCCGTGCTAAATAGGCCAATTGTTGCTGATTGCCCCACATTCCAGACAAGTTACACATCGTGATGGTTTATTATTTCCAAAGTACTTTCCACTTTCACATGTGGACTTTTCTATGAATAAAAGGTCTTCTCGTTCAGACTATAGCGTTAATTTCAGCTTGATCAAAAGCCATTTTATAAGTTTAAATATCATACCCAATGCTCTTTAAAAAAAAAGGGGGGGGGGGTCTGTGTCTCCTAACGAATTTTCAATTTGTATGTTTTGTTTTAAAGGACAAAACTTTTTTATGACGATTTTGGCGTCTGCAGCCCTCTGAAAAGGGTTTTCATTGTGTGCAAAAATAACCAGCCCTGCGCTATATAGCCGATCTGATCAGAGGCGGATTTAGAGGGTTTTTTGGGGGGCGGGGGGTCGAAACCCCCTTCAGCTCTGACTAATTTTTTTATGGAAATATATGAAAAATAATGTGAAACACCCCCCCCCCCCGCGACATCCAGAAAACAATTATGACAGTTATACCGGTAATAATGTCTGCCTGTGCACAACATTCGGACTGAGCCAACTGGGATACGAGGGTATTTGTACACTATTCTGTAATAATGGTCATGATCGTTGGATTTGAACAGCGTTCCCATTGGAATGGTACGAGACCTGTGTACATTTCAGCATTAATTTTTTGATGTAACCCCCTTCCCCCTCCCCCCCCCCCCTGCAAAAATTCCTGGATCCACCCCTGCGAATGTTTGTAAAGAAATAATGCAATAACTAAACGTCGGTGGATTTTTTTGTTTGTTCAATGTCTCATGCAAAAGTGCAAGGTTTGCTGAGTCAAAATGTCACTTTCCGGTCAAAACGAGATTTTTTTTCTGACACATTTCTGACTCATTGTCCGCGTCATTTTTACCCAGCAGAGTGTCGTTTTGATCCGGAAAAGTTTCAGGCTAAATAAAACCCAGATTTTTGGTCAAACCTGACCTTGGAGTTTTTTAGAGTGTATCATTTCGTAAATTACTATTTTTGTTTCTCCATCAATTCCAGTCGCTGGTGGGAATCCCAAGTCTGATCCTGCAGCTGGCCGTGTCTGTCCCCTCCACCATGACCGCCATCACGGGGATGAACATGCTGACCAGGGCCTCCATAAGCAAGGACTTGGAGAAGTACGAGCTACCAGCCAAGGCACGCTTGATGACAGCTGGACTCATGATTATTGGCTTCCAACCATTGATCATCATGATTGCCAATTGGTGGCGGCCCCTGGGCTGCATACTACCCTTCCCTTCCAGCATGTTGACCGATCGTAAGTACAAGGGCGGATCCAGAACACAATTTTGGGAGGGGCCAAAAAAATTTTTGGGTCCCCCCAAAAAGTGGGTCAAAAAAATTACGGCGTGGGGTTCGGGGCCCGCTTAAGGGCCCCGAAAATTTTTTGGATTCTAGATGTTCTGTGGTGCGATCCGAGGCAATTTCTGACCACTTTAACCAATGTTTTTTTGTTTGAGGAAAAGATGGTGGTGTACTCATTGCCTGCCGTTATTGCGATGTCACATAAAAAAAAAAATTGATTTCGTTTTTTGGGGGGGGGGCCATGGCCCCCTTTGGCCCCCCCCCCCCTGGATCCGCCCTTGCGTAAGTACAGCCCCCTGACGCTTTAGTATCTAAACCAGTTTCCATGATCTGCTTCATTTCAACCTAGGCCATAATCATAACTGGTTTCCTAATACATTCGACTGGTCACCGCAATAACAGGCAATGAATTTGTAACGTGTACTTGGAGATTATAATTGTCAACGTTCAGGCCAAAAAAAGGTCTCCGGTTTCTGGTATGGAGCTTGCCCCGAAAGTGGTGAGGCGAGGCGGCTTTTTTTTTCTTCAATACTGTTTTTTCTTCAAATTTCGCCTGATGACTGCAAATGGTGCCCGACTAAATTTAGTGCAAAATGTATGGGAGCCCAGAGAGACCATATAAAGCTTATACTCGATCGTAACCCAATCGAAAAACACGTTAAAATTGTGCAGCAGCAGGATCATCAAACCAGTGAGTTTGATCTTACATTGAACACAAAAATACTTTTGCCGACGCGCATGGCTACGGCGACGCGCGCGCAGACCAGAAACCTGTCGCATGTTCTGAAGTTTATACCGAATATTGTGGACAAGTTTCAATTACGCTATTCACGAATTTGTTCGATGAAGTAAGTTTTAATAGAAGTTTGTCAATATACCGCATGTTGTCTCCAATCGTATACCGTCTCTCTTTAGAGGGCGGTATTTTCACACATACAGAATCTGCAATATTCTTCAATCCTATATCTTTCGCATTGCCACTTTCAATAAGTGCTGGATTTCAATTATACTTTATTAAGATGAGCCACCTGTACAAATTAACTTGCAGAGAAAACTGCAATCAAAAGAATGGGCAGTGTAATTTAAACATTCACGAGCTCAAGTAACAGCGCCCTCTGCCTTTAAAAAACATCGGTGTCAATAGTATGGTTCCCAGACCAAAATATTATGACTAATCTGGCAAATGTCAGGTCAGGATCCTGCCCCTTTCCGAAAATGTCCGAAGTCTACCGAACACATTTCTTTGACACTTGGACACGTTCGTAAAATATATAGAACAAAATACGTGTCATACTTTTTGTTTCAAAAAATAAATTTGAGTTCATAAGTTCATTTTTATTTTTAGAACTGCAATTTCAGACGAATTGCTGTGTCCATGTTCAACTTTTGAAAGTAGTGGCTACCTGACCTAAGATTTGTCCGAATAGTCTGAATATTTTGGCCTGGAATCCAGTCTAGATTCTTGAAACCCTTTCAATGAATGCGCAATTATTCCCTTTTTCCCCATCCAGAGTGGCAGTCCTTCATCCTGATTATAGAGTCCACGCTGCTCATGATCCCGATCCTTAGGTACTACCGGACAGCAGACGGTAATGTGGTGGGCGTGCCCCCGCCCATCGAAGAGGAGGAGGAGGAAGCTTCTACGGGACTGGGCAAAATGAGACAGTGGATCCGACGACACACATTAATGTGAATCCGTGTACACCCACTCATACCTCTGGTTTGAGTTGGCATTACCTTGCGTTTGTTTATGGTGTTAATCGAGGACACACATGTGCAACATGATGAATTGAGGACAGAATCCAAATCGAGGACTCCTCGGTTTAGAAAACGTGTACAAAACCAATGAGAGCTGTTGAAAAAAAGTTACAAACAAAAGAAAAGGGGAAGAGGAACAATAGAAAATCCTCGATTTACACCATAAACAAACGTGGGTGTTCTAGTGAAGTGACTTGAAGTGACTTGAAATCTAGTCGACCACTATAACTGGATTTCTGTTCATGGTATAATTTTTACGTCATTCCTGACTAGTAATGTACATATTCTGACTGATTTTTAGTTTTAACCATCTGACCCTAAATGCAGTTATGACTGCTTCAGTCTAGTAGATGACGACAGCTGTATACAGGGTGTCATGAAAAGGTAACCAACAAAGAAACTCATAATAAGAATAAGCAATGAACGTATTGAACATTATTGTGATGTTATCGTAAACTAGGAGCAGTAAGCTTAGCTTTCCATTGATATGTTTATTGCATTTCTCTGGTGACGCATCACTAAGCTCCGTCGTCTTGAAAATGGTATTTGAAACCCTGGTGTAAAACATTTTTTAATGAGCATTTTCAGACATAAGACAAGTAGGTTCAAGACACATTTACTTATGTAAACATGAACCAATCTGTCAATTGATGATCTTGTGCTGCAGTTCGAGATGCAACAAGTAAATGGTACCTTCCGAAATCTTTGAGGGGCATACACAAGATCATTCCCCGCCCCACAGACACATTGCTGTCAGGAATCGCTTGCGAGAACGGTTTTTAAGTCTCTCTGTTGCTTCTTTTTTGTGGGGGTAATTATTAAGCTGCTAAGATATCAAGGTTTCCATAAATTTTCCATAAATATAGGCCCTCTTGTGATAGTCTTGATGTACTCCGGTTTTTTGAGGGAGGTGTTATTTTAAAAAAAACTTTTTAATAGATATAAATCTAGAAATGTGTGTTCGCACATTTATTGGGAAAAAAAATGGGTTGCACCGTCTATCACGTATGTTTCTCCAAACCAAGAAAAGTTCGAAGAACTTTCATCGAACTGGCCTATATATAGTGGACAATGGTCTTGCGTGTGGATGAGTCTAATTTCGTTCGTGCAGGCGCACAAGAGGGCGCTTGTGACGGCCTATCGTTTGCACAAAATATGGGGAAGGAAGCGCAAAGAATTGTGGGTGAAGGCCGGGCGATCTGACGTATGAAACACAGACACCTGAGTTTCCGAAAGTGTTTCAAAATTACTCATTTATCCAGATCCTGATTGAAGTTGAGTGATGGGTTATTTCAGAGAGAAAAAAATAGCAACACGGAGCATAGAGGGCGATATTCCATTTGGTTCCTTGACCAAAATATATTGACTATTCTGACAGATTTAGGTCAGGTACCATCCAAGGCTAAAAATAAACATGAAAAAAATGGCAGGATAGTGAGGGCACTTCGCATTTCAGAAAATGTCCGAAATTAACCGAATACATTTCGTTGGCACTCGGATATGTTCATACCTTGAACATACCTTGAAAGCCACACCTCCATCTTCATGTCATGTAGAAGAGAAGTGTGGCAGGGTTTAGGGGGCTTCATTTGCCCATTAAAAACCCAAGTTACTCAAATTTTGCTTGAAGCAGAGAAGTGTGTTCGAAATAACCTGAGTTAAAAAGCAGATTTTAATTGCTAAAAAAATTGTTACCTGACATCCTTTTTACTAGTTTTGGAAATTGTGTGTACATAATAAATGCATGTACAATGCTTACATTACAAACAATTAAGACAATGCAAGACGCGATTGCCCACAAAATGCTTAGTATTGGTATGGGCCTTATTCACGAGTCGGCCATATTGAATTAAAAGTTACATAAAATCTTCATTTTTGGAACTTGCGAAGTTAATAATAATACATTCCAGTTGCTTCAATGAATAATTTAAAATTTGTAATTGAACATGCCCTAATGTTTAAAGCCATATTTTTTAAAAAAAAAATGACAGTAAACTAAGGCTGCATTGTGCCTGCATAAATAGTCTGGCGCCATCCCATTCAACAGTAAACATTAATTAAATACATTCAGGGAACTCGACAAAAATGGCCAACACGTGAATAAGGCTCATAGTCCAATGCACACGTTGTGACTCAAGTAAAAGCACTCGCACGAGGGCGGGCTTTGTTATTCTATTCCGCATGTTCTTTTTCAGAACGCGACAGTTACCTGTCCACCTGACCTGTATTGTTAGACGTCAGGATCGTGTGGTCAGGGAACTGGACTAGTTAAAACGGTCAGCTGACGTCTGTAATAGATGTTTGTTTTAAAGGAAGAGAAGAAAACTTTGGCAAAAACACTTATAGTATTATGTACATAGTTGTATTAGATAGCTGTGTGTAGTGTTTTGCACTCTGCCAAAACTTTAGACATATATTTTGGCATCCACTCCGTCTTGTATTAATCTACCAGTCGGAAGACAATGTGATTTCATAAGCATGCAAAATTAAATCTTAGACAGTTATTTTGGAAAGTGAATAAAGCATCGTGTTTTGCACTAAAAGTGTTCGACACGAGCTGATGCATTTAAACGATCGATTAAAAGAAGTCTTACTGTTGCCCCCCCCCCCCCCTCGCTGGCTACGCTTATGATGATACCTACTCCCTCACCCTGGTATACATACACGTACACCTGTCTATTTGGTTGTGTTATCAAAATTCTGGTTCTATTTAATTATTGCTTCAATCTTAGGGGTGTGTCCGTCGCGAGTCTGTTTTAGGCCAAATAAAAAAACAAAGGCCCTAGTTTATTTTTTCGACAATGGCTGCCCGACCCATTTTCCATAACGACCGGCCGGGCTATTTTTCAAGATGGCCGCCAGCTTTTTTTTTTTTAAATGGCCGCCACTTGGACTCAGGAAATGACATATGCAACAGACAAAGAGGCCAACATGATGTCGTTGTTAAAAAAAAATTATCATTTTGTTCGGTTTTTATTTGTTCAATTAAAAAAAATGAGGCGGCCTCCAAAAAGGAAAGGAAATGTATGGGTTTTTTAATTGGCCTTAAACATCGTCCCAAAATACCGACAACATTTTTGACGAGGCTCTAGCGTCGCCTCAAAAATACGTACCGGCCATGGGCGTCGCGAGGGGGGGGGGGCAAGGGGGCACTCCCCCCCCCGGAAAAGCACAAAAAAAAAAAAAAGGAAGAAAAAGAAAAGAAAAAAAAAGAAGTGTAAATTAAATGAGTTGGGGGGGGGGCAAAATGTTCCTGTCCCCCCCCCCTCTAAAACTGATAAATCGAGAATGTGTTGAGAAATACAAGCATTTTTTGGCAAAACAAATTTTCCCCCCTCTAGAAAAAAATCCTGGCGACGCCCATGGTACCGGCATTATTTTTGTATCATTTTAAAGCTTGGAATCTTAACCTTATCCCTGGTTAATATTGCTTTGATTTTCAAAAGGGTTTTGAAATTATTGGTGTTCCAAAAATGGCATGAGAAATACAAACTCAACCGATTTGAAGGAAAATCAATCATGCGCATTTTTCCTAATGTAGAAATGCTTCATCATAATGTGACGATCTCGTTGCCCTTTACTTTCTGTGTTTCCTTTTTTTCGATCTACGTAGACTTTACCTTAAATAAATTCTCAATACTGTTCTTCGTTTCAAGTTCAATGCGTTGTTAATATAAATCAACTGGTTTTTATTTTATTTCAACAGCTTGTCGAGTTTGCATCTGAACAGATTTACCGCATCATCGATTTTTCTTGAAATCGGTTGAGTTTGTTTTCGACATGTTTTTGGTTGAACAAGAATAATTTTAAACTCTTTCAAATATCTAACAGTACTCGTCAGGGCTAAATTTAAGGTTCAGGCTTTAGATGCTAGACCCTCGCCCAAAAAGTTGCGGATATTTTGGGGCGCACAGTACGGTACGAAGGATTAGTCACTTTTTGTACAATTCTGAAAAAAAAAGTTGAATAACAACTACCCTGCTAAAGTCTCAACTGAGTAAATAACATAATATTTGACGACACAGTGAAAACCGGGTAGCCATTTCACATTCTTCAATTTTTGGCAGAATGATTTCTAAAACTGTAGCCGCCCCAAGAAACACTCATTTTGAAACTTTATCGTGGTATTCTTTAACGGTAACATACAACTTCTGCTTTTGCTCTAACTTTCCGAAATGGATGGATGGATTTTGGGAGTTAGTGATTTAAAGAAGGTATTGTTACTGAGACCTGTTTAATTTTTTGTGTTCACACATGCTGAAAAAATAAAGAATTAGTGCTGTTTGTGTAATCCGGCTCCCTGACCCTATACTTCTGGCGAAACGGAGCAGTTTATAGACGTCGGGGAATTGTCATGTCAGGGAACCAGACTATATAGTTAGCTTGCACCCGTTCACGTCAGGTTGCAAAAAGTCAGGGTTTTTTCCATCGATTGTCGGCCGACCATCGTTAGAAATTGAAACAAAAATTCCACTTTTCTCAAAAAAATGACAGCACACCAGATGCCATGATTTCACTTGATGCTGTAGACTATTATTCACTTACAGTCAAGCACGGTATTAGGGTATTTTATGTTTGCAAATGTTGTATAGGCCTATTATCCTTACGTTAAGTATGGGTCACCTTACTGCTAACAATTAGGTAGTATAGAGTATGATATGTGAAACATTTTTTTCTGATGGAATTGTGCCTTCGAATCCGTCCAACCGAAATCGGTACTATATTAAGTACTTATGATAGTGATATAGATGCTTTGCATTTTTCATGCAAAAAGTGTCCAAAAAAGAACCCACAACAAAGAAAATTGCGCAAAACAGGGTGAAAGTTACAAGAAGCTTTTCGCGCTCACTGCGGGCATATTGAATTTCGTGGCCAAGGATTTTTGTTTAAATGGATACATGATAGATTCGGGCTAAGAAAACACGGCTTTGACTTGAAAAATGCATATTTCCTTTTATTTAAAAAAAAAAATGGTTTCCATATTA